CTTAAAGAAATGCGGCTACGGGAAAAGCGAATTAGTGGAGATATTCAGCCAACTGAAAATGAATGTAATGATCAACAATAACTTAATGCCTTATTCCATTTTTTTTTTTCATTTTTCATACGTTTCAGACTTTGAATTCAATTGAGAATCCGCCATATTTCAAGTTAATTATTATTAATTTTATGAAAATTCGCCTTTATTCATCGTATTAAATTTTTTCATTCGCTTTTTTATTTCAATCAAAAATTTCTTCGATTTATCTTTCTTTTGCTATTATATGAAGCAGCAAATATGGATCACTGCGAACATAGATAACATCTCTGTGTTTAATTAAACAATGAAAAAATCATCCATCTATTATCTTCCATTAAATGAGCTTCCATTTTTAGCACACATTATTTTTCCCATTTTGTAATTCCTATCCTATATTGCTTCCTGTGTTAAATACTTCATTTGCAAGCGTTCAGCTTTTCTGGTTAGACTAGCAAGCTAGTATGATTTCGCTAGAGTCTCATATGGCAATAGAAGTGTAGGCGGATTACTAGTATTACTCCTGATAATATATAAATAATAAGAAAAAAATATCGCATTTTTTCCAAGAAGCATTATCGCTGATTAATCTGTATTTGCTGGCTTGTCGAGACGGAAAAATCTTGCTATGGTGAGTTATTTTGCAATAGAAATACATGTGATCACCACTATCACCCTCATTTTCTAATGGCAAGTTTACTCCTGCATGGTGTGGAACTCCAGCATCGCGCTCAGAGACGAGAGCAATAATTCACTGAATCATCTTTTCTCCCTCAGCTTCCACATTTTTGTAACAATCCCGCCTAACCAATTATAATGAGTAGGTCAGGCTTAAGTATGTTATGTTACAGCTATGTTATTATTAAGCCAACGATGTACTACTGCGTCATTTTGTTATTAATTTTGTTTCACAAATATTTTCATTTCTTTCAAATATCTTCATTTTCGTCTGCAAAATCACGATTTATACAAGCCGCGAAATCAACAGCTGAGTGCCAGATCGAAGAGAGGTTAGCTGCTTCGATTGAAATCATCATAGCATCAGTTCTTGCTGCTTGACGAGAACAAATCTGCCATTAAATATGAAATCTGGGTGGTCCTCTATCTGCAGTTAGATTTCTGGTCGGAGAATCTTATTTAATTGTTCAGAAAGGAAATAATTCAAATCTGAAATAATGAGTATTGTTAAATGAAATAAATATTAAGATTCGTTAACTTTTTAATACTCGTAAATGAACCAATTTGGTATAATTTTGACGGATTTTTGCCAAAATTTTCGGTGAATTTGGTTAATTTCATTTATTTCTTATTCAAATATTTAGATTTGCTGTAATAAATATAAATGTTTGTTTTTGTTGTTTCCATGAATATATTTAGAGGGTTTTTCATGCTTTTTTGTCCAACAAAAGAAAAGAATAAGAATAATTCATTCATAATGGAAAATTGCTTAGTGAGTGCCAACGTGTTTTTAATGCTCAAAAAACCAAAAGTACATCTTCTTGACTATTTTTTTTTGATTCTATTTTTTTCATGTTTAACTTCGCGAGGTTTTATTTCTCGTTATGAGAGTGTTTCATCAGCTAAAAGATCATTCAAAATATACTAAAAGTAATTGTTTTAAGCAATGTAAACCAATTCCAAGCAGCAATTTAAATAATTCTCTAGAAATGAATTTAAGAAGTGTATTTCTTTTTCTCAGAATTATTATCAGAGGCAATTTTAAATAAATTTTAAATAGGGAAATTTGTTTCAGATGGCTGAATAAAGCGAAAGAAGAAAAGAAGTTTAATCTAATGGATAAATAACAATAGTGCGTGAAAATTTATGCTTTCTTGACGACAAAATGCTTTATCTAAAATATCTATTGAATAGCTTTGTAGCTTAATTGTGCACAAAGTTGGCAATTATCCCACATTAAGGTGCCTTCCATTGTTGAAGATGTGGGAACAGAATGCTCAAGGCATGTGTCTGCAAAATTTAGAGACTAATTGGTAATTATACTATCTTAAGGTGCCTTCCATTGTTGAAGATGAGGGAATGCTCAAGATTGATTAGTTAATGCCAAGTTGTATTATTTAAATTTTTTAAATTAAAATTCTTTTTTTTTTTCTTGTACCTTTTTCTAATTTTTTAAACTTTTTTTCTTCTTGTTTCTTAAAAAACTTACTACTTGAATCGCAGATAATTTATTTGCTTTATCTAGACAATTATTTCATTTAAATCATCCTTATTACCTAACACATCTCACTTCCGATAGCAAACAACTGCATAAACTCATTTGCATTCCATGTGGAATATATTCTATATATTCTTATTCTTTCAGCAGCACTTAGCACTTCAAGGTCGGCCGCTCTGCTGCCGACGAAGTCCATTTGTTAATGAGTCACATAAGGGGTTGGAAATATAGGTGGGTCTTCAGCATCATTCAAATTTCAACTAGCAGGTTTACTACCACTAAGCTGCAGAAATAGAATTTATCATAGTTTGGTCTGAGCTTATATTAATACCGTCTAATACCGTCCGGCCGTCCTGTATTGAGAACAGATAATCTTAAATCTCGATATATTTAAATGTTATACGTAATGACAGTGATTGACAAATATACACTGTCATCGTTCTATAAAAAGTTATTATTGTTATCCTCGTAACAGACGAGGCTTGTTCGATTATCTATCGGTATTTTATCGGCATTTTTATTTTATTAAAAATTTCCACAGATTTTGAATAACTTCATTAAAGGCTTTTCTGCATAAATACTGATTTAAATTATATTTAATTAATAAATCTATCAATGTTCTACAAATATTGAACATATAGTCGCTTAAGAAAGAAAATCTTTATTCTGTCTGAGAATAGAACGCGAAATATTGGACGATATATCAAAGGGTTGCTGAGTGATTGGCTGGCCAGCTGGCTGAATGAAAATCATGTGATTTATCATTTTATGGCATTCAAGATTAATTCAGTATCAGTATATATTTTATATTTTATGTTTTCTTTTTCGTGCATTTCTCAGAAATATTCATTATTTTAATTTCTTCTTGGCGAATTTTCTGGCAAGTTTTTCATAATTTCCCTATTGGCGTATTGTGTTGAAGTTTTGTATTTTCTTGTAGTTAAAGTTTTTAGAACGGTTGTTAGATTATTTTTTAAGTTTTTCTAATTCACAATGTTTAGGAAGAAAGCTTCAATGTAAACATTACGATATTGTATTAAATCTTTTCAAATGATCCATATTTTCGATAAGTTCATTCCGCTTAGTAGTAGTAAAAAAATGGCAAATCATATGGTTCTTTTACTGAATAAAATATAAGTCTTGATCAAAACTATTCGCTTCTAATATTAATAAAGCGGAGAGGATAGGAAAGTTTATCCGAATAAATGTTAGATGTTTGTTTAACTTTAGAGACTTTGAAATTTTCGGAGATCGTTTCATGAAGCGAGCGAATCGATTCAATTATAAATAGATAGGAGATAGAAGGGTGCAAAATTTGATTTCCTTTTAGTACGATGGGCATTGTTTTTGCAACTTTGCAATTTTTCATTTTTTTCGATAGGAAAATTTTTTCATAATCCGTTTAATTATGCCGAAGTTTTTGCAAATTCTGTTAAACATCGTTTGAATGATCAAAGAAATATGTCGGATGCGATCAATTTAAGCTAAAATATTAAATAAACCTGATTTTTGATAGAACAGGAAATGAGCGCATTATATGGGGCGGCGAACAATCATTCTATACCGCATTTTTAGGTACTTTCATCCAGTTTGCAAGTTTTAATTATTGCAAATTAATGAATTTCTGGAATTAAACGCGTGATTTTTTTAAAAAATAACTATATTATTGAGATAATTAAGTAATTAAGCTAACCATCTTTATCATTTTCTTATCAATTTGACGATCATAGTGTTTTATTAGTTCATCAGCCAGGATTTAAAACGGTTTGACAATGTTTTTATTTATTATTTATTTTATTTATTTATTATTTATTATAATATTTATTATAAATGAGAATACCATTCGTTTTGGTTGTCTTGCAATTATATTCCTTTATTCAATTGCATAATCTTTTTTATTTTGTGGATAACTTTCACTTGTTCTTCCTTGAAATTATTATTTATTACTAGAAAGCAAAGATTTCAACTCAACTATCCAGAGCAATTTAGAATAAAGTGGAAGAAATGGCGAAATAGATTGTTTGAATTTCTTTATGGGTTCAGTTATGCGAGCACCAAAAGAATTGAACTATCCATGCAATCACTTCGTCAAAAAATTTTATAGATTCTTTTTATTAGATCTTAATTTCGCGTAATTTTAATTTTTATTGCACCACAATCAATATGGAATAATCTCGCCATTTGCATACCGTAGTAAATGAAAAAGTTGATAATAATCATTTAATAAGAAATTTATTTAAATCGATCAATTAAACATGTAATAAAATTGGCTACTTCATGAATGTATATTTTGGGGATGAATTAGGAACTGTGGCTCATAATTTAGCCAAATTTGGATGAAGTTTTGTGCTAAATTTAAAACGTATTATTCTTTTATAAGATTTTATTTTTATTTTTTTCATATGAAATATCCATTTATCCATTTCGTTTATTTTTTTTCCATTCAAAATTATTTATTTAATTGTTTTCATATTTATTTCTATTCTGTAAAACTTTTATGACGTCGTTAAAAGTAGGATGAAAAATAGGATGAAAAATGTGTAATGTTTATCCCTTTAACTGATCAGTATCCATGCTTTAACGCGGAAACTAATGAAAATTAAAAAAGAACCACAATCATCACAATGGATGAAACAATTGTAAAGATGTTGTGTGAATATGCCTTAAATATGCTGTTTTTTCAACAGCAGTCAACTAATACGATCGATTAAATAATTATTCAGTTAACGGAGTACCAACTGTTTCAATTTAGTTCTGGCAATTTTATATAATTGTTCGTAATTTTAGAACTATAATGGTCGGAGTCCAAGTGGATTTCCGAGAAAAAAACGAACGAGTGTTGAAATGCGTTCTTGTTGGTGATGCTGCTGTTGGCAAAACATCTTTAATTGTATCTTATACGACAAATGGATATCCAAAGCATTATGTTCCAACAGCTTTCGATAATTATTCAGGTAAATTTTAACGGCACGATTTCAAAGCCATCCTAAAAGCAATGATGGATGTTTTATTTTTATATGAACAATGTTAGGAAACAAAGTGAGGAGATGGAGATCGAGATACGCCATTATATAGGAAACTACCACAAGCTACTGGTCACTTTTTGCATGCCAAAATTTTAATGGGAATTTTTGAAATAGAATGAAATTTTTCATTTAAACAGTATTTTTTCAGTTTTGGTAAGAGTTGATAACCAACCGATAAGGCTGCAACTTTGTGATACAGCTGGACAGGTACGGTCTCTAAAAGTGTTTTTTACAGCAGTTTTCCTACCAATTGCTTATTCTATTCAAATTTAAAGATATTTCGCTGAAAATCACCTTTACAAAATTTTTCAAATCGCAGTTAGATTATTTTTTTAATCCTCTCTTCCACTGCACAATTTATCTTCACAGGCATCGCGATCATTATTTTTTAGTTGGATCAGATTAACGAAGAATCATAAATTTTAATTCAAAATATAGACCCAATTTAAAATATTTAGGGCTTGTTCTTCACATCATCAGCGGTCGCCTTTCAGTCATATAATTTAATTTGTCTATCAATCATCACATTTAAGAAAATATTTGCAATATTTAAATCAGTTGCGCCTTAGATCATTCGCGAAGTTTTGCATTTGCGCTTGATGATGTTTTAGGAAGATTCTTTAATGAAAACAACTGGTTAATCGGTGCTACTATTAAAAACTGGTCAAATTCATTGATCAAAAAATTCTTTTTAAGAATATTATTCAGTTACGGATTAAAAGCTGAAATCTTCGAAAACTTTAGAAGAATATTCTGTGGTTAACAGATTCAAATAGAGTAGAGATTACTCTATGATTTTTGTTTTTGTGAAAAAAAATGGCTATTTATTTAGTGACTGATAACCAGCATAAAGGCGATATTCTAAACGATCATTATCATTATTTTATTCAATTTTGCGATAAATTGCCCACAGCTGAACTGTGGCATAGACAAATTTTGTTAGAGAATCATTTGGCTAAAAATACAGGTGGACCCAGCACCACCCAGATTTTTGGAAAAGGTTTACTCTTAAAAGGAAAATAAAAACAGCACTATGGCTCCAAAATGCGAGGCAACCCACTGACCCACTCTAAACTTTCTTACAGATAAAGCCTTATAAAATCCAAATTTTAATAACCTACAAGAAATGCCCTAAAATTATCGCTTAATTTTGCGTTGAAGAAAAGTAAGAGAACAGAATTATACTACAAAAAATCAAGAAAAAACCAATAATTTGTAGCCAACATTTTTCGTCATCAATGAGCGCAACTTTTTGTCCTTGGTGATTTGTGTAAAATCGCTTTCTTTTCAACTGTGCCAAAAAAAATCGTTAAAAAGTCATTAATGAATGAAACGTGTAAAAAATTTGCAAAAATCATCAAAAGAAAATTGTTTTAAATTATTTTAATTAATAAAAATTGCTACTTAACCAATAGTTTTTATGAGACGATCAACCTAAAAATTCATCGCCTTTGTTTGCGATTGGCAATTATCGTTAGCCATCCTTCACTGTTAAAGGAAGAACGGAGCAAAGAATGTTTTCCCGTATTTTGAAAAAAAGATTCTTGTGGAAAATATATAAGAAATCATTCATTCTTGGTTCTATCAGTTATAAGCTTATTGAAACTCTTTTATTACTGATTACTTCATTTTTTTATAGTTTTTCTTTTTTTTTCAACCTAAGAATGCATAAATTTTTTTTCTCTTATGGTCAGTTCGTTTTAGGCAGAGTTTGATTCTTTGCGTCCGTTCAGTTATCCAGACACTGATGTATTTTTATTATGTTTTAACGTTATGCTGCCAGGAACATTACGGTCAATAACCGATCATTGGCTACCAGAAATCACCAAATCCGCACCAAATACTCCATGTTTGTTCCTTCTAAAAGCTATATTTTTTATATCTCTTCTTTTTCATACTTTATAGTATTTTTTTTAGCCCCTTCTTTCAGTATCATTTCTTTAAATGCATGGATCTTCATTTCAAAACCTCTTGGAAAGTTGTTTAATGCACTGCAAGTCTTTTATAAGTTCGTCAAAAGAGATTTTCGGTATTTCGCTAGCTCCTTAGTAAATTTATCAAAATGATGGAAATCGCTTATCGCTTTTTCATTTTTTTGCGAAAAAAATCAATCAACAGGCAGTAAAAATGATTAAAATTTCAAGGTCTTGTAAATATTTGTTCTGTAGAAAAAGTAGTAAATAGCAATTCCCGATTTTTCTCTAATTTATTTGTTGCTTTTTTTTAAATAATTGCTATTCACGATAACATCCATAAATATGCTATAGTGTTTCATTTACGAATACAATTTTTATCCCCAAAGAGTAGAGAGAATGGAATCTAATAATTACCAAGTTTGAATTAAACTATCATTTAAGAAGCAGAAATTTGTCATGAACAATTTTTTGCAGAACCTTCTGTTTTAGCCAATTTTCAGATTCAGAATGCAGCAAAGTTAGCTTTTTACCGGGTTATGAATTAGAATATTGTGACCCAAAAGTTAATGAGAATTTCTTTCGTTCTATATCAGCTTAAAATCATAGGAACGAGAGAAAAAATTTTCAAGTATAAAAGGCATTGTAAGGCACAAGACTAGAATTTAAGATTGATTTGTGCTGATTTGAATGACTTTAGTTAACATTATTTATTTGTTTGTTGACTTTGCTGTTGAAAAAAATTTACGATTATGAATTCGTTTATCCAGCAACAACTTTAAAGTTTGGATTCATTGCGAAATTGGTTCTTTCGAATTGTTTTTCTTCGTTAATAAAATTTTTTACATATTATTATGTTAAAACTTTAGGGAAATAATGCAAAAATGCAAACTGATGATTTTTTTTTCATGAAGCGGAAATCGGTGTTATGAAAGTCTAATTTTGGTTTTTTTTAGTTGTAAATTACTAGTGTTTTTGTTATTACAAAAAACAATAAGAAACAAATCATGATAATATTAATGGCAACACTGATTCCACTCAAAATTTTCGAAGATAGTAACAGCTATTTTAATTGTTTCAGTAATTTTCTTCAGGGCGCTTTGGTATATTAACTTTCCTTCTTTTTCAGTAATTCTTGTGGGAACACAGTGTGACTTGAGGTCAAATGTTGGCGTTGTAATAGAACTGTGTGGGAATGGCGAACAACCAGTGAGTGAAGCAAAAGCTAGATTACTGGGTGAAGAATTGCATGCGGATTATCTCGAATGTTCAGCACTGACTCAACAGAATTTAAAACAAGTGTTCGATGCAGCAATTTTAGCCGCACTTCGTGGAAAAATTTCTCCATCTTGCAACCAATCTATTGTCAAAGAGGGAAAAAAATCCTTCATCAAAGAAGGTTTTAAAAGGATTGTAACGCTTACAAGGCGGTTAATATAATATACTTCATTTCTGCATTACTTCCTTCAGATTATGCATGAGAGAAATTCGAGTTCTTAAAGCTTCCTATATATAATGTGATTTACTGAAACGAATCGGCCGAAAACATTTCGGCTGCAGAAGTTTTATTATTTTATGTTGCAAGAAAAGACAATTTTTTCCTAATATTTTTGAGCGAAAACGATTTCCACTTGAAATTTCTCTCGATTGGCTAGCTTTTTTTCTTTTTTTTATTCCTCAGTCAACTTCAAGAAAAATTTGAAATTCGCTAAAACGAAAGCTAAAAAGAAGTGAATCTTCGCCCGAAATTTTTTGCCGATTGTTTTGAATAATCGATTAAACGAAGTGATATTTCGTTCGCTAAGATCCGAAATATAACATTTGAATTAGTGATTGCGCTTTAAAAAAAACAATACAGTGAGAAATGAATATAATAACGGTGGTGATAGAGAAACTGATAGGGTTTATAAGCAAAAAATGGTGGAAAAAGATCTTTTTTTTAAATATGGGGAACTTTTTTATGGTTAAAAAGATAAATCGTTTCTTTTTCGAAAAATCTAAAACAACAAATACTCGTGTACTAAACGGAAAATTTGTTATATGTTACTATTTACTAATCCTTTAGTAAATTTCTCTCAATAGTTTCAAGTAGTACTTTTGCTCAGACTGAGTACAGTTACGGCTAACTGCAAACTTCAGCCATTAAATATCATTCTGATATATTTTTCTGATATCTGAACGCTTGAAAACGAATTTTTTTAAAAAGAATTATTCAGCGTTTTTAATGAAATTGTTAACCTTATGAAAGAAATATTTATTATTGATATTTAAGTAAGCGTATGCCATATGTTATTCTATCCACAATAAATTTATGCTAGTTTTTCTATATAAATACTTTTGTATTTTGAAAAGTTGATTTTTTCTTTAGCCATTTCTTAAATATCATTAAATATATATATATATATAATGATTAATATAAATGTTCAATCCTAATATAAATTAGGAAGTATATAAATCAAACCAATTTTTATCATTTCTGTGATTTAGTTGTTACTTAAAAGAAGGGAACGAATGAAAAATAGACCAAATATTATAGATCGAAATAAATTTTATGTATACCTTATTTCTGTAATAAAAGTTTTTTGCGACAAAAATGGTACATATGAAAATGGTAAAATGGTTCGAGGCTTTGATTTAAGAAATGAGCGAGATAGGAGTTAGTTGACTATATTAATATTATATTAACTCCATCTACTCCGTTCCTAACAGTTGAGCGAATCGAGCGAATTAATAGCGAAACACTTTAAATATTATATTAAATATTATAACTAAAATCGATTAAAAAAAAGAATTTTTAAGAATTTTAAAAAAGTACATCAAAATGAAATTATCAAACCATCACCGTTTAAAACGAATCAAAGCTTTCCCTGGTTAGGGAACGTTCTTCGTCGTCCACCACAGGAGTTGATACTTATTTCGTTGCCAGCTAAACCTTGTGATGGATAATGTCAAAAGCGAGAACAGCCAGTTAAGACTTGGATTGACACAGTTAGGAAAGACTGAACATATAGGTGGTGTAGAGAAGACATTAGTCTTTATTAGAAAAGATTTTGAAGTAAATTTTGAAATATTCTGAAATAAATTTTAAAAAATAGTCAGTTAGCTGCAATGAAATGGCTATGTTATTTCCAATATTGCAATATCTAATTGTAATCATCAACGAAGTTAAAATAGCAAAAATAAGCGAAAGCGATATTTTTAAAATATTGTACCAGTGGTCAGCAATAATTAAAAATAATAATCAAAGGCTTGTTAATGATGATGTGAATCAAGCCAGAGAAATTGTTATATTCAAAAATTGTTTGACGATATAAAATTGACAGATGCAGTCAATAGTTATAAGTAAATGAAATATTAAAGCACAGATGTTAAATCAACACTATAAAAGCAGCAGCTAAGACCGGATTCAACAGTCATTACAATGAGCCGCCGACCTCGACCCAGCGGTATGGCTGGTGCCATTCGTGATAAGGTGAGTAATTTATCTTTACTTTTTTCATAATGTACCAGTTTTCCAAGTTTTATTCCATCATTTTAAGGAACCACAAATATTTGTTGTCATGGATTCAATAGTAAATATCAGTGAGTAAAGACTGCTAAATGTATTTATTCCGAATTAAGTCTAATTATTTCATTCTATTGGCAATTCCTTTTAATTTAGAAAAAAATTGCCTTAGAAATCTTTAAAAAATTATTTCCATTTTTTTGTAATGCGAAAATATTTTCTTTAATAATTTTCTAGTCTAGCGAAAAAAAACATGCAAAAATCTGGTTTAACAAGTAATCTTCATGGTTTCCGATTAGAGCACCAAAAATAACTGAATGAGCACAAAAGAAAAAAATGGAGGAAATTCTCTAGACTTGATGTAGTCTTATAATAATTTATTTTTCTTCAAAAACTTCTGAATATAATGAATAACGAATAACTAGTTCTACATCTGATTAACAAGTTTTTTTTGCGAAGATTTCTTTATGATGCAAAAAAACGGTGCAATAATGGGATTTTTTTGGTACTTTAATCATGACAGATGACAGATCCCAAAGAAAAATAAATGATTTGCTCAAATTCAATCATTCTAAAAAAGCAAATTTTATTATATAATATTTATAGCTAGACAGACACATGGTTTAAACATGTTTTTCACTTAGGTAGTATCAACTAAAGGCAATCTACTTTGCTACTTAATGTCACCCTTTACTTCGCCTTTTTTGCCGTGATTCTAAATTTTGAATATGTCTATATTATTTCTCTACATATGAAGGATATAAAATCTGATGCTGCTGTAAGCACCGAGTGAGATGAAAGTTCAAATAGAAAATAAAAATGAAGTGGCAGAGCGAAAGCCCAGCAATGGACTGAAGTCGCAGTTATATTCGACAACGCTATTCAGTTTTCCTTTAAAGCTGGAGATGGATGAAATAATAATAGAACTACTTGGCAATTTGCTCCAACAGTTAATGTAGTAATGAAAAAATGGAATAAAGCATTGGTAATACAAGTCGTTTTATATAATTTTATTCTATCAACTTTGGTAGTACTAAAATTAAAAATTAAATTCATAGTAATTGATACAATATATTATGAATTGATAAAATCTATTAGGACGAAGTCAGATCTTGCGAAATCAGTTTATGTCTCTTCAACTCGAACGTTTTGAGAATTATGGCCCAAGTTACAACCATGAATATTTTTTGTACCTTATCACATTTTTTCTTGGTTTATCCAAGTTTTAGACGGACTACAAGATGTTTCCAAGCTATTCGATCCAATACCATCGATGACAATAAAAAGAAGCCATTCCCTTTTCTATCATCTAAGTAAATGTATCGCTGATCCTCCTATATGTTCAAAATCTTTCCTGCCTATATCAGGTTTTGATTGGCGCACCTCGGTTTTGACACTATCTATCATAGGATTTGGCAAGCAAGGAAATATACCAACTCCTGTGGTGACGACGAAAAACACGCTCCAATTAGCGAACGCGATATTCTATGATGGTATTGTTAATGCAGCTGGTATATGAGTAAAGATGCATGCTATCATGTGAGATTTCATCTGCTTGAGTAATCCCTAAAATGTTAGATATAAATAAATCTTAGAGTGATCTAAAATAGATAACTTCTTACAATCCTCCACTCTCATTGGTTTCTCACTGCCATAAGCAACTATAAGGACGCGGACTTTCATTTTTATGGTGATATCACGATGAATCCATAAAAGTTTCACCAACTGGATGAGCGCATTTCTAGCAGTCCGCGTAATAATTTCATCTTTTGCCTGGTTATTCAGATATTAGAGTGGATCCAAGGTATTTAAAATCGTGCACTTCTTCAACCGGCAGTAAATTTATAAAATATTTTATCATTTATTTCAAGATGCAATCTACGTTAATTTGTTTTTATTTCTGTATGTGTGTATGCCCAGAAAAAAATGAGAAATCTTGCAATTCTCTCAAACTTAGAAATCTCATCTCGTTATGTTGTTTATTTATTGTAAAATCTAGTACGTTCGCACCTAAAAGATTAGCTCGGCTGAGCCATTTTCCCGTTGCTGCCGTTGCAAAAAAACAAACTAAGAAGGACATAAAATCGGTAACACGACGGTAACTGGAGATACGAAGGTACTGAAGGAGTATAAAGGAATACTGTGGCAACGGGAATTTTGCAAAATGAAGTGCGGTTCAAATTCTGTTGGCATTTGCAAAAACCATAGATTTCAACGAATATTTATTAGTTAATAGTTCACAAAAAAACATAAAGTTTTTTTTTAGCAACAATCAAAATTCAATGAAGATGAAGCAACGAATTTATTGGAGTGGATAGCCAGTCTTATCAAGGAAGATTTCAATACAAGCGGGGAACGTAGTAATTTTGCAAACACATTAAAAGATGGTCAAATCCTTTGCAAGTAAATTTTCATTTCCGGAACTTTAGATTTGAATTGCAACTATCCACTACAAAATATATAAATATATCACTTATTTAGAAGAAAATCAAATTTAATGATAATATTGACGAAAATAAATCGAAAATAGTAATAAAGAAACCAATTAAAACGTTGATTGAAAGTAATAGGAGTATTTCTATAAATGCTTGAGGCTAAGATTTTATGGGTGATACGAATAACAAGTATATCTAGAGACAGTACGGCAATAAACGCTAAGTAACTTATTCTAGTGACTTATGCCTTTATGATTCAAGAAGTTCTGCAAATCGAACATACTCCACTGCCTCTGGTAACAATGATATTCAAGCACATAAATATTGTTTATATTGTTTTAAGAGCCCTCATCGTTACTGGTTAGACTCGCTCCGCTGACTTGTCATGCAAGAATATACGGGGGAGTCCCTTGGCAGTAGAAGTACAGGTGAATCGTCAGCACCACCCGGAGTTTTTGGACAGGTCTACTCCTGCGGTAGAACCTCAGCATCGCTCCAAATTGAGCAACAATCCATTCTGAGCCATTCGACCCTCAGATATTCAAGCACAATTCATAATTAAACCAAATTAATTAATATAATCGAATAAAAATCTTAAAAGTGAAAATCAGATTTTGTTCAACTTAATTCAAACATTCTTCATCTTTCCTTCTAAAAGCGTTCCTATTAAAATTGCTCGGCTGGTTTGGAGACTAAACAAATTTTGTCAGAGAATTACTTGGCGATAGAAGATAGAAGTAGGTGAATCGCCAGTATTACTTGCAATTTTGAAAGACAAGTTTACTTTTGCCAGGGTACAACCAGTATGGGCGATCTGAAAGGTTCTTCATTGGCCGGCATCAGCTATTAATTCTATTATAAAGTTTTTGAGAATGCCTAGGAATTTTTTGCATTTTGATTTGAACCAGGACTTTTGTTTATCAAAAAATAAAATGGATAGTGACTCAGACTTTGACAGGGAAAGATGTTCCACTCCAGCTTCTAACAGGACCAAACCTCATTGAAAAGTCCGAGTACTGGCGACCAATCTGTACTATTCACAATTCACCCCCTGGTAAAAATTTCTAACCACACTAATATCCGCCGGAGCTAGCTTAACTACAAATCGTAAGAGCTTACCACTTATTCTACCATTAGAATGAAGATTTGGTTCAAATCAACAAAATTTTAACAAAATCAAATATTAGATATTAAATGGATGAACTACATTGCTCTCGAATATACTCCTTTTCTTATAATGAATAATTATGAGCAAACGAATTTTGAGCATTTAAAGGTACAATTTAATTAGTAAGTAGTTAACACTAATCATTTCTTACTAGACTTATTCTACTGGCTATTAAGATAAGACACTTTCACCGAAGGGTAATTTCGGTGCAGAAATAGGGTCTCTACTACCGCCTGGATTTTTACTGATTTACTTTATGCTCTGCTTTATGCTCTTCTAGTGGAGACAAAATGATATACTGCTTAGATTTTTTTTTAAAGAGTTTTCACTATTACTGGTTTAAATCGCTGCGTTGGCTTGTCGCATTGGACAAATATGCCAGAGTCCCTCGGCGACAGAAGTACAGGTAAGTCGACAGCATCACCCGGATTTTTGAACAGGTTTACTCCAGCGGGGAATCGAACCTCAGCATCGGCGCTCCGAATTGAGCAACAATCCACTAAGCCAACCTATCCTTATACTGCTTAGATTATCATTTCAAGATTATCAAATCATATTTCGGTAAGCAAATCACTAAAAAAGCAGATTAACAAGCAGAAATGTAAAATGTGGCATGATTCCTAAATTTATTATCATTTCAAGATTATCAAATCATATTTCGGTAAGCAAATCACTAAAAAAGCAGATTAACAAGCAGAAATGTAAAATGTGGTATGATTCCTAAATTTTCATAAAATTCGGTTTATTACACGAGAAAAATTTAAAATTCACCAAAATTAGATGAAAATAGTCAAAGCCTATAGAATTAATTAAATTAAATCTCGGGAAGTTTTCAATAAACTTGCAAAAAACAGCAACGACGAAATATTAAACTATTAGACAATAAATTATTTCGGAAGGAGATGAAGAAAAAATTAGAATGAAAGAATAAATGAATTACTGAATTGTTATAGAAAGCAATTTTGTATCATCTTAGGCTACTGAATTCGGTAAAACCTGGTACAGTGAAAAAGATAATGAAACCTACGAGTAATTTCAACTGCATGGAGAATATCAACCAATTCTGCATGGCAGTCCGTGCTTTAGGCGTGAAAGATGAAGAAACCTTTCAGTCCGTTGATCTTTTCGAAGAGCGCGACTTATTTTCCGTTTGTGTAACTCTGCAGTCATTTGCAAGGATGGTAAGCCATAAATAATGAATACTTAAGCATTATGTAAATAAAATCCTGATATATTTACAATAAACAGCTGCTAAAGAGACAGAATATCCGAATGGGTTGTGGTTAGGCTATCGTGTTGAGAGGACTTTTGTCTGGGAGGAGTAAATCTGTCGTAATAAAAGCAAAATGGTACTAACGATCTGCCTATGCCTTTACTGCCAAATAACTCCCAAAATTATGTTTCCGGCCAACTAGCTTGGCCAGAAATGATGACTACTACTTACCATAATTGCCATAATTGTTAGTACCATAAATACTTACCATAATTGTTAGTCAGCTTCTTCAATTATTATACAATTTCAGGTAAGCTAGATGGACGTTCTGCGTTGTTTTTGCATTTTACGAAAAGAAATAATAATTGCAAATTTAGCTTTTAAACACTCTACCATTCCATACCCAATATATCGTACTTTTTCCTTGTCCATTTGTCCATTTCAAATTTTAAACACGAAACGTTTTAGTTTGCTGAAAGCGACTTGTTGATGGCCGTGTGCTGAATTATTGAAATAAATTAGAGTAGTTTGGAGTGATACTCCGTTCAACTAGCCATTGAATAGCATTTATCAATTAATATTATAATAATTTTGTTGGTGATTGAATCGTTCGAAATTTTAATTCCATTTCTTTTCTTTAGAAGATAAGAAATTCAGGCAGAGAAGCTCTTTCGTACACGACTGCCAAAGGCGATCACCAAGGACCAAATATAATTAAGCGAGTGCTATGGCCAAGATAATTCATGATTCCACATCAGTCACTACTTTTAGCGAACTTTTTTTATCATCGACTATTGTAATAAATGCAATAAACTGTTTTACAATTCACAATTCCAAAATGGTCAGCAGACGCCACAATAGCAAATGTAATGGTACCTTCTCGACAATAGACCCTGTAAGAAGGTCAACTACCTCTGTTACTTGACATCCAAACAATAAACTGTTTACTCGATGCCGAGTGGACACCACCAATAAATACAACTCAATAAATCCATTTTTTTCATCCACTAATGAGAATGCATGGTTTGCCGCAAAAAAAACAAAAAACGATGAAAAAAGAATACGTTGAAATTGCAAATTTATATTATATAAATAGAAAAAAATTATTTCAACGGCTTTAAAGAAGCGGTCAACAGACTCATTAATATTCTAATTTTTAGTGATGTTAACTGTTAGCTGTTAGTTATTATCGTTACAGACGTGCTTTCTCGAAAATATCGAATATTAAATCATATACACATATGAAATATGTTACAGACAGACAAAAACTCAGCGACATATTTGCGAATTATATCAATCCAATTCGAATTTGCTATAGTATAAAATAAATAATTCTCATTTTTTTTGTTTTTGAGGTATTCTCAGAAATTTCACTGAGAATTTCGCATTCACTATCAAAAGTTTTGCCTACCACCAATTAAAAAAAAAATTTATTCGATACTACAAGGAATGAAGCACTGGAATAGCTATTGCTTAAATCTCATTTCCAATATGGTTAGACCTTCGCCCTTAACATAACTGCCAAAAGCTATCACCAAGGACCAAATATAATTAAGAGAGAGTGCTATGGCCATGACGATTTTATGATATCACTTCAATCACTATTTACTTTTAACGAAATTTTTTTGGCACGACTATTGTCATAACAGCAGTAATTAGAAAATCTGCTGATTAAAAAACCCGTGTGGTGCCGAGGACCAATTGTAATTTTAGCCCCATGTAATACCAAGAGATACGAACCAAATTTATTACATCTATACCAAAGCGATGTAACCTTTAAAAAATTAAGAAAATACAAATATTTTTAATCTTAAATTATCATAATTCTATGCTAATTATAATATGGAAATATCCTTAAAAAACTGAAATCTTCACCACTTTTCGAGCATTTATGCGAGTAATTTTTTCTTTAGTTTTCAGCAAAAAAAAAAAATTTATAAGAAAAAATTTAAGACTCATTATATGATAGTGCAATCAAATTCAATAAATGCAAAAATGATAACATAATGGATAACCATCTTCTTTTGTGCATCACGAAAAAAACTATAAGTTTAAAGCACATATAAACAGAAAAACTGAGCCTGCACATATAAACAGAAAAACTGTTAGTTATCACAGATTCCTATTGTAATGATACAAATATTTTTTCGTAGAACTTTATAAGCAACTGAAAAATCATATATTTTAATAATGAAATAAATATTAAATAACAAAATAACGATTATTAGCAAAAATTTAAGGGATTTTTACAAAAACCGAATAAAAATTTGGAAAAAAATCGAAGCAAAATAAACACATAGTCAATACCTCTGGACAAAATCTTTTGCAAACTTCAGCTGACACTCTTTCAGGTTTTTTCTTATGCTTATATTTAACGAGATATGAATCTTGTAAGCCGTTTTTCTTTGGCTGAAAAAAGAAATTCAAGCACTCGTTCCGTTTAATATGTTGTGTTAATTGAATCGCGAAGCACTTACATATTTCGTTAAAATCATTTCTGGCAACCATCCTTTTTCAATACCGCTCTCTTCGGAAAGTGGACGTACTAAAAATATTTTTAAAATGGATATTTGGTATTTAAAAAAAAAAATTTTGTTGCAAACGAAATAAATGAAGAAAAGGTATGACGAACATAGTTTTTGTCTGGCGAGCTCATCTTCACTTTCGCTTGAAGTTTCGTCATTACTTATGGTATCGATGACTCCCGTCAAACTTTTCTTTGTATCTCGTATTTGAACGTGACCTACTGGTTCCGAAAATTGCACAGGAGCTTGAAGATCAGTTTCTGGGCGTAGTACAAGAGGTTTGTCTAGTATTTCCAGTTCCGCTATAGGAGATGCACTTTCCGTTATCGTTGAAGGCAATTCACACGTTCTTATATCTCTCTTTTCTTCACCCCCTTCCTTACAATCATCTTTTTCCAATGCTGTCAAAAAAGAGGAGTTATTATCTAGCATAATATCCGGTGAATCTTTCATCTTATTATTTAAGGCACTATTGTCCCTGGATGCTTTTTCTGAATGATGGTTATTTGTTCGTTTAAATTTATTTGACTTTTTAAATTTTTTTGAATGTTTAGATTCACTTAATCGGCTTTTCTTTGTTTGTTCTTTTTTTACCCTGAAATTATTTCTAAAATTATTTATAATTTCTGGCTGAGCTTAATTGTTTTTTTTTTGCTCGTTCTCTTTTTATCCTGGAATTATTTCTAGAATTACTTACAACTTCTGGCTGATTTATAAGGCAAGTTTACCAGATAGCTGTGTTGAACTATTCGGCTTTCCTCAGTCTCTGATTACATTATTTCTCAAATATTATGCAGAATAAAAATCTAAACCAACGTTTCAACAAAATGATCCCAGCGCTGATGAAATTCTTTTATGAGTTCATCACAATCCTAAAATTATAATAAATTTTGTTCGTATTTTTATGGAAAAAATGTAAAGGAAAACTTTTGATGAAAAATATTTTTGAAAAAAATAAAGCGTATATAATATATACATAATGTATACATGTATATATATATATATACATATACATATAAGAACATATTTTCTGAAAAATTTCTCTTGAATTTTGTCCTCAACTTCGCTAAGTTAAAAATATTAGATATATAAAGTGATGTACTACTTTGCTCTCGAATATACTCCTTTTCTTCATCAGCAAAAAAAATAAATAAAGAGGCCAGTCTCAATGATGAATATGCAAATAGAAAGAAAATTAGGAACTAAAAAATCAAAGACTGAAGACTTGGTTCTAATATCACTTGACTTGTCGATTCTTTTACGTAAGTGCCACTGTGTAAGTTTAGTATCGCAAAAAACTGAGAGGCTATCATGCAAACGTCATCTGCAACATTGAATTTGAATGATCGTGGATTTTCTACCGCAGATTATTTTGCATGTTCCATAACATTTCCGAAGAGGTATTTTTACCATAACCGAAAAATAATACCGCACTTGCAGTGGAATTTAGAACAAAAAAAGAAGCGTCTGAAAACAGAAAAGAGAACCATAAAAGTTGGATCAAAAAGTACTATATATACACATACACAATCGTTCAAATCTATAATCAAAACAGCCGATTTTCGAAACAAATGGACAATCAAAGAAATATATAATTAGATAGTAAATGGTCCATATATCCACCATAGCCCTCCTTTACAGCCAAAAGAAGGTATTCGTGCCATTAAGATTACTACGAACTATTTTCAAAAACAACTTAAATACTCATATTACATCAAACCTCAGCCTTCACTTTTAATAATTTAAAATAAGTAGTACATATGGCTATCATTTCAGCAAATTCTTAATAAAGCTTCTGACGGATCATCAGTGAGCTGCTGCTGATATTCTGATAACCAGTCTGCAAGAAATTATTCGTATTCTTTTGGCAAACTCATATATTTCTCATACCTCATATATTCTTTGTGACGTTTCGTTTTCATGTTCATATGAAACTTGTTATTGTGAATGTAGTGTAATATCCTAGAAACCCTTTGAAAATCGACTAAAACTTAGCAAATGAAGAAACACTTTCATCTGAAACAACAAAAAACTTAGTGGGTTGTTTCTCAATTCGGAGCGCTGATATTAAGGTTCTATTCTCAGCAGGAGTAAACCTGTCCAAAAATCCAGGTGCTGGCGACTCACCTGTATTTCTATTGCCAATGGGCTCCCTGCATATTGCTCAATATGACAAGCCAGTGGAGCGAGTTTAACCAGTAATGGTAAAAACTCTTTAAAAAAAAAATTCAAACCAATAAAAATGACTACAGAAGTAACGAAGAAAAATCTAAAAAAATAAATAGTTTAAACTCCTCAAACTTTTAAGTTAAATCTGGTCGCTGCACAACTGGTTTTAAGAAGTCATTAGGACGGTATAAAGGGGATTAACAGGATACCAACAAAGAAAATTATGGTAAAAAAAGGAATGAAATTTTTATATTACTCACGAAGATTTTCTACAATATATCATACTGATAATAAAAAAATGAAATTTTAAAATAATGACTAAATATGAATACATTTTTTTAAAAATTAAAAATTTCTTTCGAGAAAAATTTTATAAGGAAAGAATTTTACAAATAAGGAATATTTTTCGGTGCTTATCTGGCCTATTCTGTTTGTCCGATTTTTTTTTACTTATCCATCGATCCTCTATCGACTTTCAAGGTTTCTATTGATTCCCAATTGGCCCATTGAGGTCCATTAGTTCCTTTTGAACCTTCGCCAACCTTCAAGGGATTTACATCGACCTCGTTGAGAATCCCCTATTTAATAAATCTTCATTAAATTAAATAAAATTAATAAAAATAAACCAAATTTTCAACAGGTTCCCAAGTATTTTCTTCATCCGTATATCCCATCCATTTTAATAAATATTCCCTTGTTTTCGTTTTCGAATTATATCGCATGTCGATAACGCGTTCAACGATGAACACATCATCTCGCTCTTTACCATTTTTCCAATTATTTGCATCCATTCATCAGTAATTAGTACTAAAAATAATTTCGATAGAATGAGGCAAGAAAAACTGATTCGGCGACTGATAGACTATTCATAAATCGCAAAAAATTCCCCATCAAAAGAAAATTTTAATTGGATAATAAAATTTACTTCAAGCATCTTAAATTTTTCATTAAATTAAGAAATTTTTAAGAAATTTAAGAAAAAAATTACGAAAAATTACAAAGAAATAATAAATTTTAATTTTTTAAAATTTATAATAAATTAATTAATCAACTAAAACTAATTCAATGAACAGAAAAACAAGGGAAAATAAAAAAGGGAATTAGGAAATTCAGCGTGTTTGCAGCAATCAGTCGATAAACTAAGCTTGGAATGAAGACACAACCACTAAGGATTCCTAAGCTGTTTCTTTTCTTTTTCAGACTTAAATATAAGATAATGAGATCGAAAGTTCTATTAATTCATCACAGCCTCAACCCGAATCCCAAAGATCAGATGAAAAATGATATATCGCATTAATAGAATATTGTTAGAAGCGCTTTCTCTTGTCTGGCATTGCGTCTTTGGAATCGCTGTAAAATCAGCCTCAAAATAGAAATCTATGTTTAAATATCTGTAGTGAGCAAAACCATACTAAGGGACTATAAGAATGAAAGATATCACGAACTTGCCTGCTTTTTTGAAATAATTCTTATCCTAAAAAGATTCATGATAAGTAATTTCCATATGATCGTATGTTTATAAACTCATTTTCCTGATTGCAAAAATGCACCTCGAACGATTCAACAATAGAATTCTGATATAAGAGATATAACAGGTTCTAGTTTGGTTCCACGGTTTGTCCCCATGAAATCAATATTTTTAAAAAAGTATTTTCTTACAAGCCCATTTTTATCATATTTACGATGTATGCGATTTAAAAATTTAGGGACGTGTTTCGGATTATTAAATGCAAACTGAACTTCTCGCTTATCTATTTAGAATATAAAATACCCAAATGCAAGCCTTTTGTATGTTTCCGATAATTTTTAAGTGGCACTGTGTGGCGGATTAGGTCATTTCATCACTGTATGAGATTTCCTCGATCAACTGTCGTGAACTTCTCAAAAATATCCAAAATTCCTAACTATCGACATTTATAGGACAATTCCAAGATTATCTTGTAAGTTTAAATCCCATTTAAATTTCGCAGAACGTCGCTAGCATTTTTGGACATCTTCTTTTCCTGACTACTCTCACGCTTACCGATTAGGCTGGACGAGACGTTTCCAAGCTGTTCGATCCGACACCATCGCTAACAATAATTCCTTTCCATTTCTTTTTCCATTTTTCAAGTAAATACATCGCTGGTCTCCCTATACGTTCAAAATCTTTTCTATCTATGTCTTGTGGTGGGCAATGAAGAACATACCCTAACCAGCGAAGGGCGATTATTAATTATGCAAGTGGTATTTCAGCGGTAGATGCAGTCATAGTGAGATGGAGATTTCATCGTCTCGGCGAACCCGTAAAATGTATCTTAAACATAAGTGGCCAAAAGCAGATAAATTCTTATTCTAATCTCATTGGCCAAATCTCGGAACCATACAGGGAGATCGAGTGATCCGCAGCTATAAAGTGGCGTACTTTCGTCGCGTACAGTAGTTTCGCGAGCGGCTTCATAAAGGTTTCGCCAATAGAAATAACGCATTTTTAGCTGTCCAAGTTGCAATTTCATCTTTCACTTTTGGATTAAAGTGGATCCAAGGTATTTGGCGCATCCTCAATCTACAGTGAACGGGTAAAAATAGGTATTTTATGAATTACTGACGAAGACAAGACGAAAATGTTCTCGTTTTATTTACGATGATCATATGTTCAACTTTCCAAGCAGCTGTCAACGCATTGTTTAGCATTGTTTGCATTTCGTTATAATTATCTGCAAAAAAAATTATATTATCACTGGACTGATTTGCACACCTCTTGAGTCTCAACAAGCGATGTCAATTATCCAATCTGTTACAGACTCGAATGCTGTAAAGGGAAAGAATGGCTTTTACCGACATCTTATCTTGAAAGAGTCTGTTTCCCATACCTATTTGGCGATATAGATTGATACAATGTCTTTATGAGTCGTATGATCTTCTCTGGAACATCGCCACATTCCTACAAATCGAGCACCGAATCCAGCTTGGTAAGGGCCTATCCTGCTATCTCATATTTCCATGATCTATCCAGGAGGTAAGCAAAAATTTTTCCGGAGATGTCTTCCAGTCATCTGGCATTAATTTTTTCTTCCATAACAGATAGTAAATTTATCGAAAGCTCGTTATGAAAAACGTCGACAAAATTTGAAGAATTCAGTCTGGAGATCATCTTTTTCCAGAGTTCCAGCCTTAAGATTATGGATATCAGATTTCCTCTTCTGCTGGCGACCCACAGTTAAGCGTATGGCCTAACGGGTAACCGACTATACCCACGACAGCAGATGGCGAATAATGGTTTAATTTGACCTCAAAAAATTCCTCCCATCTTACGAGGCGATCCTTAATATTCTTAACGAGCATACCATTACCATATCATTTCACTGACAGTTCCCCAAGTTATAATTGTTTTATAAAAAAGGCAGAATAGTTTTTTTACCATCGACTAATCCAGCAGCCGGTTAGTTACCATTTTATTTTTAAGGCCAAACAGCTTCGATAACGATTTCTGTCTCGCTGTGCTCCTATCATTGATGTTTCTTCAAAGCATCCGGTAGCCAGGATTTCCTTGCCTTGGCAACTTTTTCGAACAGTTGGGTACTTGCTTCTAATATCCAACAGCCCATTTCCTACTAGCAGATCCTAAGGTGGAAGCAGCTGACTTTCTGAGGCAAACCTTTAATTGAGACATGTATTCACCTGCCGTTTCAGAGAAGTCAGTGATATCCATTTTACTGTGGTGCTTCAATAATGAAATGCAATTACTGAATCTTTTCATTTGTGATAATTGAAAGATCTTGGGGATGTTTCATTCCCGCAGGTTTTATGCGGATCTTAGTTCAAACCTGGTCGGACAACACGGTCCACGAAAATTAAGTTTTAGTGCAGCGAAAGGAATGAGTATGGAATTCTCTAGCATGGAATTCTTTCAACGACAACTGACTAAGATATAATCAATCTGGTTGGAGTATCCGGAAAGTTCCACGTAGTTAGATGTATGAAATATTATATTAATAATAAAAAGTTCATGATCTTCGGCAAAGTGAAGATGGCGTTATCTATTGACACTCCGGACTCTGTACCACATTTACCACTTATCGAGTTCACCAAGATGCCATCATGAGCTATACCCGCATTCCATCTTCGCCTGATTATGATGCTACCTTTCGATAGAGATGTTATTAACAGTTGAAGTTCCGCACAGAACTTTTCTTTGTCACAATCATTTATATTTACACACTGATGCCCAAGACATCGCGGAATTTTCCTTTGAAGCGATAGGTCATAGGCCATAAGGTCGTTTATCGACTTCCACTCGATCAGAGCGAGCCTTTTCAGATATGCTCGAGACGGGAAGGAAAACGCACTTCTGATAAGTATAAGACATCCACATGATATTTACAAAGAGTACGGCCAACATTTCGCTGCGTTTACAGAAAGCTAACGGACGGCTTCTCATTTCCCCTGAGATTTTGAGGAATTACTCTAACTTTTGAGCGCATCTTATTCTCGAGCCTTGGAACTTTGTTTTATTATGCCTGGATACTCACCGCATGCACCATCGAGCTGGGAGTATCACACCCATCAAAGGACGCGAATTTTATGTCAAAAAGACCAGAACAGACTGGTGAAACACCGGTTATTTGGTGATAGAGTTACAACTGGCTTACCAGCAGCCAATCGGATATCATCACAGATTTACTCCTGGCAAAGATACAAATTAAAGATGAAAAATAAAAAAAGAAAATAAAGTTAAAGCGAAAAAATTTGCTTAATTTGCAGCGCTGATGAAACCTTTAGAAATTTCGAGAAAATATTTTGTAAATTTTGTAATTATCAGAACCGATTAATACGCAGTGCAACGCAGACAGCTGACACAACCGCTTACAATCAATCAATGTCAATTCAAAAAAAAGAAATTTTCGATCACCTACGAAATTCATACGAAAAAAAAAAGCTTTGTAGGTTTTTTTCCACTACCTCCACCGCTTCATTTGTTTTAAAAATCCACAGGGCATGCATTTGCTTTCAATGCATTCATTTTTCTACTAGCGAACCGAATTTCTTCGAACTTTCAAAAAAAAACATCAAAATCAAAACGACCCCTTAAATTGGAAGGGAAATGGCTTATAAATTTAGAAAATGAATAAATCTGAAAAAACATTTCTGATTTTTTGAACAGAATCATTTCTAGCGACCATTTATTCTTCATAAAATCATTCTTAAGAGGCTCCGATTACCTGTGCAACGACCAAACACCTCCTCCTCTCCTACTCCCCCCTTCCTCGTATTCCCAATGTTGCCCTACCTCATTCTTTAAAGCCCACACCCCAAAATACTCACCCTATGTAGCTGGTCAGATACCCGTTTATGTTAATACTAAAATGCAGCCCTCGCAAGGTGAGCATCGACACTTCACGGCCTCACTTTTATGCGGTTATGTTTTTCCTTAACATTGTTCAGCAGTTTTATGTTTTTTGATGGTACTGGATGATTTTTGCGAAGCCTTATAAGTTATAAAATCGTAAAGATTTGGAGTGATTGTATTACGGCCTAGCGATATAAATGAAACGAAAGAATAATAATGGGCACTTAACGAGTATGAAAACAGTAGGGAAAGAATTCCACCAGGTCATAGCACAAGTCAAACATTATAAATCTTTCTAAACCTATACCAGAGATTAAGCCAGATACCAAGAATATTTCGCTAATTTTCTATCCTCCTAGCCCACCATTGCTTAGATTATCAGCTTTTGCTATAAGACGTTTGCAAGCCCCTCGATCCGATGTCACATCGAAGTCCAGACTCGCTCGATCGCAAACCTCTAGCCGTTCTAGTCTAAGCTTTGACTAGGTCTCCTCACTTTTGTCATCAGTGCCTGGAAATACAGCGATTCGTGCGATGGACAATCACATGGCTTGCACCGCGTGGATGTGACAGAAAAATTTTATTAAAGAAATTGAAAACTGTATAAAGCGAACTCATCTCATAGGTAGTTGTCTTCTTCTAGCAGCACTTAATTACAATCTGTTCCAGTACGCTGGTCACTCAAGGATTGGGGCATAATCAAGTCCAGTACGATCGACGTTTCACTTTCAATGATCATGCAAGTGACGAAAAATGAACGCGCGAAGTTTGTTTCAGCCGAAGCAACATATTAGTCGAGCATCCCGGTCTTCATTTTTCAATTATTTCTTTAGGATAAGAAGATCTGACCCTTTCAGCATAGAATCACTTGGGGCAGATTTATAGATGGGGTCTGTATCCCCAGCAATCACTCGGATTTTTGATATGACAGGTTCACTCCTGTAGAAGACAAACACATTGTTTTATAATATTATCATAAGGTGGGAAAAAAAATTTTAGATTTAAAATTAAAATATATAGATTTAAAAAATTTAAATTTATTTAAATTTTATATATGTAAATTTTAAATCTTTGTTTTTAAATTTGGAGAAAAAAACTTGGCTCCTTATAGAAATTTATTTATATTTATTTATAAAAATTTAATTTATAGAAATTTTAAAATATTCCAATAATAGCGTAAAAGTGACAGCGGAACAGAAGTACAACCGCTCAAGAAGCATATGGTTAGGGCATTCTTTTATCCTTATAATCAGTGCAGCCAGTCTAACCAGTAATGGTGAGAAGAAAAAAGTTACTTCTTTATTTGTTTAAAAAAACATTGAAAAAACTTTATTTTACAAATCGTAAAACCATATATTAAAATAAATTAAAAAAGATTAATATTTCCATTATTTGGCTTTAAAATAAGCCACAATTCTTGTTTTTTACCTCAGACAAAATTATATGGTAAATCTCTAAATTTGAATAATTACAAGAAATAAGGGAACTTATTTGTGAGGGTAAGGTGTTCATCTCATAATTTTAGCATTAATTATTCGATAAATTACCATGTATAGTTGCTGCATCTTCAGCACCTTATTTTAAAATTAGAATTATCCACGACATTATTGGACAAATGCTATTTCTTTTATGATAAGATGTGAGCGCTTCTGCTAGATCGGCAAAACGTAACAGTATTGGCAACACCGATGCTATCTCTGGAATAGTTCTCACTCAAAGAATCCATCACTTATCAGAGATACAAAATTAATAAAGGGTTGCAAAGCTGATTATGACAAATTAAATGATGACGTAGACGAAAATAATCGCCAAAAGACGGAATTACAAAACGATAGCTATTCAAAATTTCATAGAAAAAGTCCGTATAAAATTTTTTAAAAATTGCAGTAGCTATCGAAAGATCTCATGACAAAAAATCGACAAATAAAAAATCAAAATACCTTTATAAGGGAAATTTAATATTTTATGGCTTAGAACAATGAAAAAACAAAGTAAAATAAATAATCTAAAGAGAAAAGAATGGCAGCACCACAGAATAAAAGTAATAAATAGTAAAAATAAATTTAAATAATATTAACCAATATTTGAACAATTAAACCATAAAGAAATAAATAAAAAACAACTCAAACACTGAATATACCAACATGACATGGTGTTTAAATGTTTAAACCTAATAATTAGAATGGATTTCGCCAGAATTTTCCGTTGCGAAATTCAACAATGTATACGCTTGTACGTCAGTAAGACTTTCACACTCGGTGGTTCGAGTACGCCTTCTTGGAGTCGCTTTTGATGTGTCACCTGATTCTAAATTATCTTCTTTCTCGTCTACTTCGAGGATCGCAGCAGAAGGTGGTAACGACTTATCTCTTCGTGGCCTAAAAAATGAAATCTGGTGTTCTCCAAGGTAGTTGTATTGCGCCATTGCTTTTTCTATTATATATAAATGATGTAATATAACCAATGTGGTACTAAATTCTACTATTTATCTTTATGGTGATGATTGTAAGATTTATTATTCTCATGGTAGATCAGATGGCCTGTTTCCACTGCAGGAGGACCTTACCAGAATAGCCAGCTGGCTATATGACAGGCAAATTACCCTTTCCTTTCAAAAATGTAGCGTTCTTCATATCAATTCCAAAGGTTCCCATTTTCCTAATCTTTTTATTAATGGCAATATAATCAGTAGAATCTCGCATATTTCCGATCTTGGTATAATCGTGGTTGAAAATCTCGATTTCGACCTTCACTGCAGAACCATAGTAAAGAAATCCTCAGAAATACTAAATTTTATTTTTCGTTCGTTTAAAAAAAAAACTGACGATTTCCTCATCAAAATGTATATAGCGTTCATTCGGTCACTTCTTGACTACAATGCTACATGTTACTCCCCGAGATATCGTAAATCAAGTAAAATAATTGAAGGACTCCAAAAATATTTCATACAGCGCCCCTCCTAATTGCAATTTTAACTATAAAAGAAAACTTCTACAATATAACCTGGATCAGTTCGTCGTATTAAACAAGATTTAATTTATACTTATAAGATTTTGTATGGTGATTTAAATTAGATTGTTCAAAATATTTTAATTTTAGGTTAAATTTTAATCCAACAAGAACTAATGGGCTAAAATTACTAAAACTTATGTGTAAAACCAAACGAAGGACTCATGATTTCTTTATTCGTAATATTAACTTTTGGAATAAATTACCTAACGACATAGCTTGTGCGCCATCTCTAGTTATCTTTAAAAAAAGAATAGATAATATAATTCACGAAATTTAAAAAATTCACATCATGCAGGAAGTGTGAAATCGCGATTTTTACCAACCGATTATAGTTATTTTGATTTGTACTATATTTTATTACTTTTCAATATCCTCTTTATTTCATCTTTAAATTGTTTATTTTATTTTAATATTATTGTTTTTTGCCATTAATTCTTATTATTTGTTATTTTAACTGATATTATTAATATATATTATTAATATAAGCACATGGCGTTTGCACCCTGCTTGACTGGTTTTCAATAGATAAATAAATAATGCAAATTTAATATTTTTCGAATCCCTTCTCATTAAAAATCTCTTTCCGCACAAAAATAAAACTGCCTTTTTTTCCAAGAATCTAATTAACAAAAAAACCAAAAAAGCGCCAAAACCAAAAACCAAGAAGACACAAAAGTTATTTACGAGATTATGAGATTATTTATGAGAAAAAGTGTTAAAGATCACCTGAATATGGCCAAAGATTGAGTTCTTCTCGGTGTTGAGGTCTCCAGTATAGGTATCTTCGATTCAGCAGCACTTCTCAGTTCATCCCAGTGAGCCATTAGATCTGATACTGTGAAACCCTTGACTGTAGAAGTTTGATGAAGAACATCTAAATCGAGTTGTAAAAGATGGAAAACAAAAACAGCAAAAAGGAATTAAAGTTTTAAAGACAACAAAGGTACCTGAAAAATCTACTAAGCTGATACGCGGAGAGCTTGGAGCACTTTTGCTTTTCATCATAAGCACTCTTTTTCTATATAATTCAAATTCAACTTTAGCTTGAATATCGCGATATTCATTCACATGCTCACATGCTTTCCCAAGAAGTACGATACCGTTGAAAACCTTTATAATGAAAAGCAAAATCCAAGCCAAACCTAAAAAAAACCAAAATTTGGAAATTTTCAGTGTATCATCGTGAAGCAATAAAACATCCCATAGTTGACAAAGCCAATAAGTGGTGAATTTTTAAACAAAAAAAGTATACTATTCGGAAAAGTTTTGAATCACCATAAAATTTTAAATGAAATATTCACCAAAAAGAAAAATAGCAGGCATCGTATTGAAACTGAACGACTGTGTAAGCACTCGAACAAACATAATGGTCAATGGAATTGGAATAAAACCCATTCTACGAGAGACTTGATCCGAATAATCAGAAAACGCGTCTTCATCACGGCTCTTAACAACGTCATAAGCAATCGTAATGGTGAAATCTAAATAAAATCGCCTATCAAAATTACCAAGAAAACTTATTTCAGTAATTGAGGTTGTTTTACTGTAGGAGTCTTAAAAATTTTTCGAATCAATTTAATTAAAAAAATAGATGTATTTATTGAAAGTAAAAGAGCAGAAATTATTACCTTGGTAAACTTCGGCTGGAATTTCATTAAACTTTGTGATAAAAGCATGTTTTAGCCAGTCAACCATTAATTCACCGACGATTACCATGGCCTAAAATACCAGAATTTTTATTTAAAATATCTCATTTACAAACAGTTAAATGAAGAAAAGCTGTCCTGAACAAACAATGAAAGAATGTTTATCTGAGAACTGAACAGAAGAAATAAAAACAAAACCTTATATGTTCAACAACTTTTAAGATGGACAGTAGCATATTCAAAATACTTACTAAGTCAGGTAGCATTTCTATCAAGTGATCCGTTTTCCAGTTCACAGCCATCATATTCCTAATAACAACAACTGATAACAACATTAAAATATGAAAACGCTCGCGAACATCACTAAAAACTTTTGAACAGTAAGCGAATAGAAAAAGAATTTTCAACGCATTAATATTATAAATTAAAAAAACCTGCAAGACATTTGAAACAGATTTGCCTTGGCGAATTTTTTGAAAACTGATCCTTTGAGTTCGACAAAATTATTGGACATCATTATTGTTAATAGTGCTTGATTATGAGAATTAAAAGCCACATTCAAAGTTGTCGCCTAAAAATACCTTGATTATAAATTTCAAAAAAATATCTGAAATATCATATAAAGCTTTAAATTATCACCTGAAGTAATACAAGGATCGTATGAATCACTGCATATACAACAGCAGCGAGCAAATGAGCCAAAGTACGCAAAATATTGGAGGACTTTTCTGTAGCAGTCCAAAAAAGAGCATCGAGAATATCCTATAAATAATATTCTTCTTTCTTCTTCACACGTTTGAACTTCATGAATTAAAAATGGCGAGTTTAAACATTGATCATTCTTTAATTTTATTGAAGCAACAGCTTTTTTTTAACGCATTAATATGAAGAACAATTCCTCGTAAAGGTATTCAGAATAAATTTAATAAAAATTATCACATAAAAACCCTCAAACCCTTTGGATGGTCATGATCATCCTTAACCTCGGGTACTCTACCAGAGGCTTGGAAGAATGAGGGTCTTCGCAATACCTTAGTTGTTCCTAATAGTGCGCTCTTCTAGAGATCTCTGATATTCCAGGAATATGCTGAATATTTTTCTAGTTTAATGATCAGTTCCATGTGCTCCAATTATCAATGGAATTATTTTGGCCTTTACTCTCCACATCTTTTCTAATTCCTCTTCCATCCCTTGGTATTTCTTTAACTTTTTATATTCCTTCTCTCTGACGTTCATGTCGCTTAATATTGCTATATCAATCACCATATAATGTAAATATATATTATATATTATATATATTTTATTATAAATATATATATATATATAAAATATAAAACTTACTTGTCCAAAGCTACTGAATAATTTATCAGCAACTTCGAGCATATTGTAAAATATATATAATTTGATCACACCTTGACCACGAACCTACAGTTTAAACTAAATTATTTTAAACAGATACTGCTTGAGAAATCTGTAATCTAATTTAATTTAAGAAATGTAATTCAAAAAAATTTAGAGTAGAACTACAATGACAATTGGTGGAGAAAAAACTATGAAAGATCACTCAACTGTTGTGGTGAATTAAACGTTAGGGAAAAGAAGTACATGAATATTAGTGAAAATAAAATCAAAATTGATAATTTATAACTTCTAACTTTCGAAAAAATTTAAATTTGAAAAAAATTATACTTGAAGGCTATTAAAATGATGGTCGATAAAAAAAGAATTAAAAGTAAAATATAATTTTTGAATAAATAATAAAACTAGCCTGATGATACATAATTGATGTATCAACAATTTGCATCAAAAATGAAGTAATAATGATAATTAAAGCCTTAAGAAGATCGCAAGTATTGGCTGAAGTCCATTTACGTAAACACATAAGCCAACCAAATATAGACATCTGAACACATTCCGCAAAATAAAATTAAAAAATTGCATATCAAGTTTTAAAGAAATTTACAATTTCTCTGTTTCCCCATAATGAAGTGAATAATTAACAGAGATTTTAAAAAGTAAGGATAAAAATTTTTTAGCAAAAAGATAAAGAAATGACCATTTAAAAAATATTCAAAAGAACTAAACCAACATAGTTAAATCTGAACAAATTATATTTATATATAATTATATTTAGTCTAAAAAAGGAAGATGAAAAAGACATACAAATAAACGGATTGGTAGAAATGTTGATAAATAACAAAAAGCATCGACGCATTGCAAGAAACCATAGAAAAGAAACTTTTCCAGTTCAATCGGTATTCGCAAAAATGCATACACTTTACGACGTTTTTCCGTATAACGCGATATATCATTGTTCAAAGAGTAACCTCTTAATTAATTGGAAGGATAAAAGACAAATTACCAGTTCCATAGATAATCAGAGTTAATAAATATTAGAAATTAAATATTTTTTTCTTCAGATATTACTAAAATATGATACCGTTAATGACAAAACAGCCTGGGAAAGTTTCAACCTAAGTGAAGGCGGACACACTAATTTCATAGATTTTAGCATTGTTCTGCATGCAGTACATTTTTTGTGGAGACATGAAGATCTAGGCTAGGCCAAATTTCTTTATTGTAATTGTATTTTATTTAGAAAAAAAAGTAAAAATTTCTACTTGATTAATTCTCGCCAAATGAAATCGAAAATGCTGATATTAGAAAAGTGCTTGTCTCTGGAAACAAAATTTTCATTTGCAGAATAGAACTGATCAGAAACCTCCTCTTTAATATGAGCATCCTTTCGTATATAAGTTAGATTTTTATCTATATCTAAATCGCTTTTAAACTGTTCATTTTCGTAGTTGGATTTCCGCAATCGAATCTCCATGTTATCGACAACTGCATTCATTTCTTCTACCAAAATAAATATGTAAAAAAATTTCTGAAGATAATTCTATCAATAAGCCTTGGAAAAATGATCCTATTTTCCAAGATTCACTTTAAAAGCACATAAATTATGGAATTTATATTATTTGCTAACTTTTATACTTTAAGAGATTAAGGCCATCAGATATGATTTATGTAGAAAAAATTTTCAAGATATAGGGGACGAAAAAAACGATTATAAATTAATAAAAATTCCATAGAAACATACTTCAGAAATTCTATTAACTTTTCACAAAAAAATAATCTCCAACGATAAGCAAACTGGAACAATGTTTTCTACCCAAAATCATAGACTTCCAAAAATCTAAAATCTTAAATCAATAAATTCAAAACAGTGAAATGAACTAAAAAATCAATAAAATGAATATATATCAGATAAAAATAAAAAAAATTTTCGCATAAAATATTATATTAGAGGATTACTAAGATTCGTCCATTTGCCAAATGCATAATACACAATGTATTTGTGGCAAAAAATAATTGCTGAGAAGATACTGGAAACCATTTAGAACATTTGATTTGGAACATGTGCAATTACAATCATGTCAGCAATTAATAGCTGATTAGGTAAGATAAACGGAATTAAATTTTAAGCTTCAAAATTTTTTTTTGATTTGAAAGAATTTTTTGGGAAATTTTTCATTTTAAAATATTTTCTGTTACAAAATATCGGTGCATTCGTAACTCAGTGGTAAGATGAGAGACATCGAGAATCGAGAATAGCTCGGACTCGAATATGGCGACGCTTCGTCGGGATTTAGAATGGCTCGGTAGGTTTTTAGTTAGTTCAAAGAACTGATGCGCACCAAATGAAGTCCTAGCAAAATCTGTAACAAACCAGAGGCGATGGGACCTAACCAACAATAGTGACCGTCCTTAAAGCAAAAGTATCAACAGTAACACCCCTACAATTCCAAAAAGAACAGAACAGAATACTTTAAAGTATGAAACAAAAACTTACATTTCAGAACGATTGGCTATTGTTTTGTGACGATTTTTGGTGCAGCTAAATGCTGTTGCATTCCATTCCATTCGATTATATTTCATTTATTTACTTCATATATTTTACAGAAAGAGATTGCTTAAAAAAAAGCAAAAACACGTAGTCGCACCAAAAATAATAAGAAAAAACAATAACCCCAAAATAAAAATAAAATTCGCTAAGAGATTTCAAATTATTCATTAAAACAAAATGATGAAAACTATGAAATTTAACAAAAAAAATTTCTAAGAACTAACATTTCAAGCAAATTAATGACTTTAGCGATGACCTATGACCCCTCACTCAACATACAACCATTAATCAACGGCCAATATCACCTTAAAAACACCAAATACTATCAGCCACTATCAGCTTAACCGAAGCAAGTTTCAAAAGCTCTCGATTAATTCAAAATTTTGAACTGTTACAAAAAAAGGCGGTAGCGGTCAATCGAGAAGGCGGTTTCATGATGGAGATTGGCCCTTTTGCTATTTCAGCAGATGGACTGTTATATGAATGTTTTCTAGCATTGGTCGTGATCCCATCAATATGCGCACTTGACAGAACCACTAAACCTCTTCTTTCTTCATTCGAATCAGTCATTAATTGTTTTCATCTCGATTGACAAAACTGGAAATAACATTTGTGAAGTGGAAAAAAGTGAATTCAGTGACGTATTGCAGTGAAACGATGAACGTTGATTAGTTAACGTGATGGTATGGTTGTAAAATATTGCCAGGTACCGTGGTACCATAACCATTATCGTATTCCTAGTTGCCAACTAACGCCACCTCAGTTTCTGATAAAATTTCGCCAGAGATCAATCAATGGGAAAAAGACGTACATGGGTCGCCTTTTTGGTTCCATTTTCACTATGAATTCTCTCTCGTGACGTCATAGCGATTCAGACACAATTCTCGCACAGTCGTCACGGATCCTTTATGATTTAAGTTCGGTGCGATGATTGGTTATTTCGGTCTGACGGTGGAATTCTCGGTCTTATTTTCTTATCTTTTTATGGTTATTCTATTTCGGAGAAAAGTTAAATTAAAATTTGGAATGTTGGTGGCGATGAATATTATTTATGAAAATGAAACGAGAAAATTAAATTTGGCGACAAAAGTTGAGTAAATCAGTAGAATTATGGATAATTATTATGGCTATGGAATGAAATAAAGTCGTAATTTCGATATTCGTTTTGACTTTAATAAAGTACTCAACTTTAGAGAATTAATTTAGTTAAAAATCCAATTTTCTGCATTTTATAAAAGTCGAGGAATTTTTAAAATTGTTTATTGAGAAAACTCGAATAATTCGAAAAAACCAGTCATTCCATCTCGATGACTCTGAATTCCGAGTGGTTCCGAGTGGGTGGTTGTTGCTCTAAATGTTTCTATTACGGTGAATGACTTGAACTGATTAAATTTTTAAAAAATAGCTTTTTTATTTCTTAGTGCTTTTTCGCATGTTTTTTCCAATTACTGACACGAATGTCGAAAGAATTTGGAGAAAGGCCGACACATTCATCGAATTACAAGTGAATGATTATAAAATGCTGGATGCTGGTTGTTGGAGAAATTCTTGTCATAAAGTCGGTTGAGGATGGGAAAACGTGTGGATCCTCGGTACCAATTGTATTTGACTTTTAATAACAGGTTTATTCATATACGTAAATAACTTTGATAAGTACAATATTATTGTAAACAAAAATTGAAATTGGAATTCTTTATTTGTGGCAGTTATTTTATGTTTTATGTTTATCTCAATTTTCAACTTCTTTTTTGCAGTCTTTCATAAATAAACTCTTAAAGCAAAAACAAGTAATCACAAGCAAATACTACAAAAAACTTGTCGAATTGGTCTTTTTTCGTAAATGTGTGATTGATATTCGTTAATGAACGAACTGAACAGCTGAAAAATCAACCAGTCTAGCAAATTAATCATTAATGCCAATAATTATTTATTATTAGTATTAAAAATATCGAAAATAAGAATTGATTTTTCTATAATTTTTAATATGCTTTAGTATAACTGAATTATTGTAGTTCTGCACATTGCTGATTGTTGAAAGAACTGTCAAATTCATGGCTTTTGCGCAGTTGATGAGAACATGAATAGAGCCGCTGCGGGCATATTGCGAGTCTCAGTCTACTTGGTGACACATGATGACTGTTGATTTAATCCCGTGCTTTTCGTTACCTTTGCGAGGACAGTTGAATTTTGCTCTTAAATTTATATTAATTGATCAGTCAACCACCTTATTCCATAGTTTTATTTTTTAATACATGATTGACTGTTGAATCCAGTTAAAATTTTAGAATGTCTAGAAATTCAGCTATAATTCTGCTTTTTTTTGTTGAATGCATGAACGGATATTACGTTTTTTCCACGTTTCTTGAAATACATTCGTCTTTGCCTCGTGGCATTCATTTCCTTATGACTGAGCGATATTCCTTCCGGAATGATTCTATTAATATTCGGTAAAATCGCGATCGATGAAAGAAATTTTCGCAATGACCTTGCTGCCTTGCTGAGATACTAGCAATTTTTATAAAAAAACTTAATATTCTATCGAATATTATTCGTAAAAATTGTATTATTCAATGTCTCTCTCCCTCCATTTAATTTATTCGTGGTTCAACTTGGCATTCTTTGCTTATCTTTGACTTATAATTCGCCTGAAATAGATTTAATGTAAGACTGCTGATGAGAATTGATGAAAAGCAGCAAATATTCATTGCAAATTCTTTCATTCTCAAGCGATTCCTTAACGGAGCAATCTTAGTAGAGCGGCGAAAATCGCCTCGTTTTTGCCCTTTTTATCAAAATTTTTATAGAATTTATTTTTTATATATCTTCTCTGAATTTATAATAATTTCTTCCTTTCAAATACGTTATATTTTCATTGCAAATTCAGAAATTTAACAAAATTTCCTTCAAAAACCACGATTCGTGTTGAAATAAAAATGGAAGAGGATTTAATACTATTGTAAAAACGATTTCTTCAAAAAAATTATTTGGCAAATATTGTAAAGAATAAAAGTTTTTGACCCGGAATATGCTTACTTAGAAAAAGTAAACATTTTCATTCAAAAGCAATGACCCTACGAACTGTTTTTATTTAGTAAGCTAAATTATTTACTTAGTTAATAACTCGATTAAACAAGCATAAAATGGTACTTCCGTAACAAACTAGTCCACCATCATTGTTTTTTCGACCAGAAATACATCTCTCTCTCTTGATGAGTGTGAATCTACTATCAAAATTTTAGAAATTTAGGTGGTTTTGAGAGTCCATCTGCACTTCCAATGTACTAAGTGGTTCTTGGCTTTATTAATAAGCGAAGCGAATCAGATTAAAAGTGATGTTAGGCAATAATGATAATATCCCATAATACGGATAGCTCAACATCCCTCGTAAATGCTTAAGCTGATCCAAATTGAATTTGGATTTCTTGCTTTCAAATCTAAAAAATTATTTTTTATGGGGAAAAACAGGAAATATTTAAATTCTTGGGAAATTCTTAAGCTTAATATCGAAATTACATCGCATGTTTAACAAAAGTTTTCATGTTTTTTTAAATAATTTTTATCTTACAGAGTTTCTCGATGTGTTTCTAATTTTTCAAGCTGAGAACGGATTCATTTTAGCTTATCCCAGAGATAGTATGGCTCAGTAGGTTGTTACTCCAATTTCGAGGCACCTATTCTGGGGGACCACTACCAGCTGAAATAATCCTATCTTTCAAAAATCTAGGTGATGCGGCGATTCATTTGGATCTCTGTTGTCAAGTTGTTTCTCTGGCAAAATTCTGATCCGAAAAGCACAATAAGCCTAACCACAAAGAAGAGGAAAAAAATAAAGAAAAATCACAAAAAATTAAAAGATATTTAAAAAAAAACATATTCTACCTCATGAAAAAAAGGAAGGATGCAACCTTGGCTCTTTCGTTATTATCTAAACACCGTGCTTAACAAGGGATGAAGACCAGCAATAAGCTGTTGCCCAATCTAATTTTGTCCACTATGCTATGTTTACCCAAGTGATTTCCTTGCCTCGATCTACCAAAAATGTAGTAATCTGTTTCATATCAAAAGACGAGTGATAATATAATTTTGAAATTTTAAAATTTTGAAATTTTAAAATTTATTTTAAAATTTTATTTCCAAAGAGATGGCACAATATTAATTTTCGCATATTTTTGTGCCTAAATTGGCTAATTTCATAGGATGATTTATGAGAAATTTGAAAGGAAAAGAACTGTAGCATTGTCCTAATATTTGCATACTTCTCAGAAATGTTCTTTGTTGGCTTCTAAGCTAATATTTGCAAATTTGTTGTGCGCTTAAGACACGCGATCGTTGACTACTTCGTATAACGCCGATTTTTGAGGTCAAATAATAATATGCAGAAGAGAAGAAGAATTTTTGCGAAGCGGGTGCATCGTAATTTTGGGACGAGGAATGGTTATGTCTAGCTGAAAAGGATTAACGAAGGTAAAGACGATGGGTCACCGGTCATCGAAAATCAGTTCTATCTAAATGCTTCATCGCAAATAAACGACTAAGGTCATTTAATAACTGCGTCCTCCACTGCATTCTCGTGATATTTCGCTTCTTAAAAATGAGAAACAAGTTTCATTGCTCACTTTAAAACTTTCCTTTTTTAGACCTTTTGCTTTGTCAAGACTGTTTATACCAAAACCGATCATCCAAGATAAATGATGACTCGTCATCAAGCATGATTCTCGCCAGGAAAATTATGCCCTGGAGGCAACACAAATTTGAAGAATTCGAATATGAACCTCGACCTGCCATTCATCCGCCAATTTCTCCAGGTAATTATGCATTTATATCGATCTAATCCACTCACCTATTAATCTTTACCGATTTGTACTTGGCCTTTGCCATAATATTCATCCATCTGTCCTCAAAATTAGTCAGTCGTTCGCTGATTTGTGCTAACAAATCCATGTCAAATGAAGCTATTATTTTTAAACCACTGTACCGTTCTTAGTTTAATTATTTTTATAATCTGAAGAGATTTATGGCTTTTTGGAAGTTTTTAAATGAATAATTGTTGTAAAAAAATTTGCCAACAATTAACTGTACAAAAGAACGCAGAAAGAATCGATTTGACAAAATTTTATGGCCTATTTCCACTGGATTCATCATATTAAATTGATCGGAAATTAATGATTCGTGTTCTGTTGAAATGAAAAATAATGCAAAATAGAAGTGCTGTTTTACTAAGAACACGAACCTTAATTTATGATCCTTTAAATAAAAAATTCGACAAAAAAATATTTATTCTATATTTTTCATAAATTATTTTATGTATATTTCGTGTTATATTTGCTAATTAAATTTAAAAAGCGATCGATTTGATAAATCCATTTTAATCTTCTCGCTATATCATTTATCATCCATAAAAATAAATATTCAAATTTTTAAGTATTTTCGCATTTCGCATTTTTCATTGCCAACTAAAACTTACTTACTTAAGCATTTTGCATATTCGTTTTTCCATTTTTACTTCTTTCTTAACTTTTGCAAATCCTAGTACCATACACATTTCCGCTTTTAATGATAAGTTTACATTCCACTCGGTATATAAGAATCGGACCTTAATAAGCACCACTTAATTTATAATTTGAAACGTCTTAAATTTTTTCTAGTTTCCTATGCATGTAATCTTTGTTGTGGTAGTATCATGCTGTATTTTATGTTCGCTAGCAGTCATATTACATATTATTTGTTATAGCGGAGTTTTTCTTCGTTTTTGGTGTAAAGAAATGTATGCTAATCATGTTGCGCATAGCAGGTTATAACCGATTGAGTAACTATTTTATAGCTATTGATAAAGAATTAAAATTTTATTCTTTTCTTTTTTAGAACAATTCTTTTTCAGCCGTATTAAAGTGAACCTAAACGAAAAATGACTGATTCGAATCCGTTTTATAATTCTTTATGTAGTTCTTAAAAACTGATCAAAAATCAGCTGGTTCTAGTGTTTGATTTTGAAAGCCTTTATTACTCGTTATACGTTTTCACCAATGCAGTTATAATAGGTGGTCCACCTCCGTCTTATCGTTCATCAACATATGGTGATGAAAGCAGTTCATTATCCGATTTTCCAAATGCGTTGAAACGACGATCTTCTTGGTTGCAGCTAATTGAGAATAATGAAAATTTGCAACTGCGAAACGCAGGTGCTTATCCTGTAAGTTCTTACAAAAAAACGACGAACAATGGATTTTCATTTAATTTTGATAATGCAATACCTCTCGAGCAGATATCACCGGTCAGCAATAATTATATTAACCGTATTATACGAACACCGGAATGTGACGCACCAAATGTTGGAAATATTGCATACTCTCAATATATTATTGTGGTAAGTAAATCTGCCCTCATTTGAATCCGTAAATTCATTTCTGAATGATAAGATGGTTCATAATTCTGACAATAATATCAAATAATATAAATCGATTATAAATTTGTTTTGATATATTTGTCACTGCAACTTTTATTCGCCATATTCAGAAATTTCCAGAAATTTGTAAAAAGGAATTTTGGTATCGTTTAGATCAACATTACATTTCATTTCAGGCGAATGGTTTGTCTCGAAAGCTCAGCCAAGCTCGTGCTTCACCACCTATAACTTCTGCACAGAAGAGGAATCGAATGGAAGAACTGCGACAATGCTGGTCGAGATTATATTGCAAACTTATATGCCTTGGAATAATTTTAGCAATTTTTATCGCAGTCTTTCTCGTCATTTTTTTTGCAGTTATTAAAAAAAAAGTAATTTTTTCAAATAGTTCTCATCCTACACTTAACTTCTTTGAGTGATTCAAGGTGTTTGTAAACTTTTATTTCTTACTGGTTCTCTGATCCTTTGCCAGACCTTTGCTAACCATGTACTTCTAAGTTTTTCTTTAATTTTACAATATTTACAATGAGAGATATCGCTCAGCGACCATTGAAAATTTTTAAATTCATTTCAGAACAATATGGAATATTCTTGGTTGCCACCGTTCTCTCAAAGAATGGGTCAGCAAGTCCCAAGCTTATTGTCGATGCGTAAAAATGGTAATCAGATACGGTTCGAGCTCAAAGGTGGCCCTCCGTTTCGAGGCGACTTTATATCGGTTTATGACTTTAAGAATGTTAGTTTTGAATTTGAATATCAAGAGGCCATTTCATATTTGAATTCTTGATTTCTATTTTACTATTTCCAGGAGAACCATATCACCAAAAATCCTATTGAAGAGAAATCTGTGCTTTGTTCATTTTTTTATCCATTTTTGGACTTAGCTTTTTTCTGCTTTTAGAAACCCTAATTTCACAGTAATGGTTACGTTCATGGCATTTAAAATTATTAATTTGCATGTAATTTTATGATATGAATTTAGCGCAAGGTTGCGATAATTGACTCAACCTTGAAAAATAATGGCAAAAATTTGGCATGTTTCCTAATGGATCTTAATTCCACCGCAATGCCGGATATAGCATCCCTAAATGTTGCAGCAAAAAACTCTATGAAGGTTAGTGGCAAGCTGTTGCTCAAATTCATTTGTAATGTGTTAAAAGGACCTAGAATTGCCAGAAACACTGTTTTTGGCATAAATTCCCAAATGCAAATAATTATCTCATTGGTAATCGTCCTTCCACTAATTCATCATTCTTTCCAAAAAGATAAGGCATAGATAGATATATAGTTGAATATCGTCTGTTAAATAGTGCCGAATTTAGTTTCACCTTACAGACCTCGTACTTCTAACTTTTTATTCATACAAGCATCAAATAAGACGTATAGAACAAGCTAGGTGATTCGCTCTATTTCAATCGCTCATCCTAGTTTACCTGTTTTTATCAAATTATTTTTAAAAAACCATTCAATTCTAGAAGTCAGAACAAACCCAAGGATGGGAGGAAGCTTGGTATTTTGTTCCAACACCTTATTCAAATGCTACAAGTGGCTTTTTTAATCCTGTTGTACCTGAATGTACTGAAGTTCGTTGGATTACTCTCAATTATACTATTCTTGATCAGAAAGGTTTGTAAAATGTTTCTTTTTCAAATTTCTAATGGTTTAAATGAGTTCAAAATTTTCTTTCATGGTCATTGCATGTAATGAATAACAAAATATTCTCTATTTCCATCATGCACTGTTTTTCAAGTGGGTTTTTGAGTTTTTTTCAAATTTCACTTTTTAACAATGCAAATAAATAATTTATAGGGCAGCGATGTACGGAATGCTATGATTTTTGCCTTCCAGAATACGGTATAGAGATGGATCCGATAAGGGGTGAGAAATATTTGAATATTCTTCGTCGCGATTGTTTCCATCTTTTTATTCCCGAATGGCGTTCTTACGTATATTCGAACGAACAGAATCAACTTGAATTCGAAAAGTATTATCAAAATATAAAAACAAACAGCGAAAATGCACAAACAAATCCAGCTGGCATTATTTATAACATTGAAGGTGATACACGGACCGGTCAGAATTTCGAATCAAAGTGGATTTCGCTGGAAAATGTTGGCCGTAAGTTGTATTTAGAATTTATATTTATTTTCTTGTAATTACTTTTGAGGGCAGAATAGGTGAGAGGCTAAGTTTTTTATTATTTCCAACATCATGGTTTGCCTTTTGCCTCCGCCAAAAGTGGATTTTTCATTAAAAAAGCCAGGTGGTTTTAGCGATTCATTTATACTTCTTTCTCCATGTAACTTCCTTGCAAACTTACAAATCTAAATCGAATAATTCATTCAATTTGTTTCTATTTGATTCAGAAATACACCACCGAAATAAAGGCCAGTATATAAAAGTAAGCCAATTTTTCGAAATTATATTATAAATAAATTAATTTCGAAATTAAACTAATCTCACCACTAAAAGGTTTCAGAAGGTGCAGCGATGAAAGACAGCAAGAATGCTGAAGGAATGGCTTTAGCTGTCAACCAGCACCTTTTTAAAAATGCACCTGCACAATTTCCAATAAATGTTGAGGCAAATAGACGAAATTCATTTAATGCTCCTGTGGTATCACAAGAACAGCATGCAGATAACACCAAAATAAACAGCAGGCTAAGTCCCACCGCTTTGGAAACCGTTCCGATAGTACAACGACCAATTGAACAAAATGCACCTACTTATTTTTCTTCCCAAGGAAGACAGTCACAGGAGTTCCAAGGACAAAATCGTCAAGTTGCTGTTGGTGATTACAATATAAAACAAACTGGAAATAATCCGAATGAATTTGGCTCACGCGTTATTATTATGCGAAGTGAACAAGTACCAAGGCCAGTATCAGCTCAGGTATTCTTATTTACACTTTCGTTTCATTACTAAGAATTCGGCTGGTTGGTTCTAAAATTTAAATGAAATTATTATATACAAATTATCCAGTTTTGAGGGAAATCTATTATTCACAATTATGGTGACAGCGTTTTTCATTTTCTACTCTATTAATAATTTCAGTAATAACATCATTCCGATTGTGTATTCGAACTGTTTGGTCTTACGAAATTTGCGTAATGATATGCTCGTTTTCAATTCAGAAAATTTGCATGAATAATTTATGAATTTATCAGAAATTTAGAGACAATTAGCTCAAAATTTAAATTTAAAAATTTAATGAATTTTAAGGTGAAACTTCCTCCATCCCAGTATTCTTGTTTGTTTTCGATCAAATCATCCTTTTTTCCACAGATTTTATCGTTGCCCAAGACGACCGTAACTTATTAATTTTTTTATCACCATTTCCAGTGCAATGAAGCGAACAGTTTTCAATAAATGGTGTAAATTTAGTAATAAACCTGAAATATAAAATGGCGCTGAACTACTTTTGATTAATCACTTATTTGAAAAAAATGAGGACCGTCATTATTATTCCACTCCATGTACCTATAGTTTTTTCTTTCATTTTTCTTTATTAATTAACTTATTGCATATATTGCATATATGTTATTGATAAAATTAATACCCTAAATTGATAAAAACAATATCTTAAAATCTTACTGAGCAAAGAGATTTAGATGAAGAAAAAAAACAAAATCAAATGCACTTTTTATTAATTGAAAATACAAATAACACAAAAAATATTACATCTCCATGCGAAATCTTAAAAGAAAATAGATTTTTCAAATTTTGCAGAGTGATATTTACAAAATGAATGCCACTAGTAATGATTCTACAAAAAGATTGTTGGCAAGGTTTGCCTTAACCAGACAAAATTCAAAAAAGCTTTAGACCATATATTGCGATTTAATAACAACTACAACTCTGAATGAATTTTTGACTCAAGAAAATGTTCAAGTTTGCGTAGCTTACGTCTAACACGATCATGACTCTCTTCAAAAAATGAGAAGTCCTCATCATAAATATTGGTTTTACCAGACCTTTCCTTGTGTTCCTTGATTAATTTTAGTTCTTTTTCGTGAAAAGCGAGCTTATCTAATTGTTTATCAAATGCCTGCAATTGTAAGCGAATAATATCCAATTCAGATGTAGAGAAACTCGAGTTTGCAACAACCTAAAACGTAAAACTCAAAATTAAGTGATAATTTTTTAACATACAGGCTAAAAATTCACAACATAACATGTTGACAGAAATGGTCTATAAAAGTAGAAAATAGAATTTTACAAATTTTCCAGTTATATAGGTGGTTAAATTACACTATCTTCGAAATATTTTGTAACTGCTCGTTCATATTTCTTTTCATAAAAGCAAATCTGTTTTAAAAATCTGGGTGATACTGGTGACCCAGCTGTACTTCTATCACCAAATGATTCCATGGCAAAAATATGCCTGGTCTCATAAGCCATAAGTGGATGAGTGAATCTAACCATAAATGTGAGTGCTCTTAGAGAGGAAATTTTTTTTCACAAAATTATAGAATAAATACCTTTTCCCACAATTCATTAACTCTTCCATTATTGAATAGTCTTTTCTCCCTTTCAGTGATCCTTTCTTGCAAACTTGCAAGTGTATTTTGAATAAAAATAAGGTCCTCTTTTAAAGAACGACGAATAGCCTCTTTTTCATAAACAGCGTCATTATGCAAATAATTTTCATCTTCATTACTCGACATTTTATTGTACCTTGATATTTTTTCTTCATATGAAATTAATTTCCTTTCGTACAGTCTTAAATCATCGAGAAACACTGAAAAATAAAAAAAATAAAAAATTAAAAAAACCAGAAAATTACCCAATATTTAAAAAGATGGGCCAAACAGATCCAAGCTCTATCTTAATCAAAATCAAAAATATTCTGTATTTTTAAAAATGAATTATGCTAATGAAGTTCAACGTCATAAAGACGTTGTAAAGACGTTACAAAAAAAGCAAATCGTAGTATGAACAACCCCATCGACATATCCATGTACTACATATGAATATATGATTTTATAAAATTCCTAGTCAAAATATTAACCTTTCAACTCTGAATCAGTAAATTTCGATTTTAAAGCCAATTTCCACAACTTCTGTAATGCTGGGTTGTCAAAATCCACAGTTTTCAAAGCACTATAATCTTCACTATTTTCATACCACTTCACTTTCTAAAATTCATATCTATATAAACATAATTAAAATAACAATTATATGTTGAAAAAAAAAGCGATAACACACTTTACTTTAAACTCAATATTTGCTTTCAATAAAACAACATTAATTTAACAGAAAAAGAAGAGACCTAAATTCAAATTAAAACAATACGGCTAGGACGTGAACGTGAACGTAAGCGAAGCCCTTTTCATCTAACGCCATAACGCCTAAGTCGAACTTTTTAAAGCTTAAATAAAATTTGTTATTCCAAATTATCATTTACCTGATTGAATATTGACACAGCCGACTGCAAATTATACTTTTCCAGCATAATTTCTAATTTCGCGTCGATCTGGTCGAGAGAGGCTTTTGGACGAACCATATTTTGCTCCTTCACTGACATATACAATGAATCAAATTTTGCCAAATCAGCCTATAATTTAAAATGAATTTTCATAAGAGTTTAAGCCTAAGCATATTCTGCGTTAGCAAAAACATTAGTCGAAAGTATGATAGTCGTCACGTTCGAGCTTTAATCCCACTTATCAACTTGAAATTAAAAATCGACCTTGAGACGCTTTAGCAATATTCGATCATCGAGATGATGTAACGCTTTCGACCAAATAAAATTTATTTTCTTCGTTTGGAACGGAACAAATGATTCTTCGAGCGACACAGCGACGATGCAAACATTTAATAATAGAATGCTAACAATAAAAAGTACCATTTATTTTGCTCCCTCTCGATACGCGCTCAATTACCAACTAAAAAATATGCGCACGTATCAAAGTGAATATTAACGTTCGTCGACTATTATTTAATGAAATAATCTTTAAAAAAAAATATTTTTTTGCATTTTTTTTGCATTTTTTAAAGGTCCAACCAATTCTTAACTTTTATTTCTTTCTCGGCTAAAATACGCTAAGAGAGAAGAAAAAAAATGCAGTCTTCAAATTCGAGAAACAGGAAATTAGACTTATTGAAACAGGCAGTCCGACTGACTGATTGGGACGCATAGCACATTTGCGTTCCGCGTGACAACAGGCAGTCCGACTGACTGATTGGGACGCATAGCACGTTTGCGTTCCGCGTGACTCGTCACAGCGCTCCCCCTTTCATATTCGACTTTTCTGTTAACCGTCTTTTCATTTACAAAACCGACATAAAATAATAAATAAAAACAAAAGAAACCAAGTCACCGAGGCCGACATCAAAATTTATCGTCAAGGAAGCAAAACACGGCCCGCCCCACGGTTTAATTGCTGATTTGCAGTTTGTTTTGACGGTGAAACCATTTTGTACTGCATGTTTATGCAGTACAAAGTTGAAATAGTAAGGCTAGCTACCAGTTTTTAAAAATATATATATAGTGAAAAATAGGCAAAATAGGAAGGCGTCTTTGCAAAAATAGGCTAAATTTAGCCAAACTGATGCACGCAATTGTCATAGGCGCAACTGTCTCGTTAATTTTGCGTTTTCTGCCTTAATTTTTGTGCACACAATGATGAATAAAATAAAGTTTTAAAGGGATTTATTGGTGATTTATCATTCGTTGAAAATTATTGGTGCAATATATGATAAATAAAATAGTTTGTATTGCAAAGATGAAAATTTCAGATAAAAACTTATTTTTTTCATAAAAAATTTCCTTATTATCGCCGTTTTCTTTATTTTTGTAAAAAACCACAGTTCGGTTCGAATTTTATAATGCGCTGATGAACGAAAAGGTGCGGTCACTCCTTCCCAGTAGCGCACAGTACTGCGAGGCACATTGGCCTGGAAAAAGCGACTAAACGAGGTGCGCTCAGATTAAAGAAGGAAAATTGAAGAACGTAGGCGCTTGGTGAAAATTAACTAAATTTGAGCGAAATACGCTGCAAATCGAATTTTTGTGCCAATTTTTTTTTCCAAATTTCCATTTAAAATCGGTAATCAGTGAAGTGATAAATGTAGTTTCACTAAATTTATTTATTTTTCTGCATTTCTTCATTTGAGAAATTCAGCAGAAGATTTTTGATAAAATTTTATGCGATAATGCGGTGGATTACTTTCATTTTCTATTTGCGCTGTATTTATATTAGAAGGAAAATTCTTTAATGAATCGTATACGCAGAAAATATTCCTTGAAATATGCAATGATTTTTTGATTTCTTCCATGAGAAAGAAAAACGGCGAGTAGTGATTTTAAAATGATAAAGACTTGATTATCTATGATGCTTGCGGTAATTGTAGTCATCACGATCAGCACTCCACGCATCTTCATGCTCCGATTTCCCGTGCTCAGCGGCATTCTCACCCCAATCACCATGATTGTAAGCATGTCCATGGCCTTGTTGTGACATTGCTGCCTTATCCCACGAGGAGAGCTCATGACCAGAATCTTCTTCTGCACTTTCGTATCCTTTTTGAAAGCCACTTCCTTTAGCATCAGCAAAATGGGCGCTTTTAGCAGCTTCATGCTCGTATCCTAAAAAAAATAAACTAAGAAGAACAGTTTTTATTTTTCTGAATACCAAATCAGCTAAGCTTGCGAAAGCATTTATTTTCGCATTTATTTTCTGTTAATTTTGCGTAATATTGTAGTTTAGGTTACCATCTGAGCCAAAATATCCCTTTGAGTAAAAGCCGTTTGGTCCAGAACCTTGAGAAAAGTACGAATATTTTTTTCGCCCTTCAGAGTCTAAAATTTAGCAGCTTCAAGACCTGTTGATAAAATTATTACATCACAAAATTATCATAGCCTTTCTTTTTAAAATCTATGCTGAATTTGAAATGCTAAATTTAGATTAATAAATTTAGATTAGATTAAATTTTAGATTAGAGTAATTTTATGTTAAGAATGTCGTTTTACATTAAAATTGATAATAAAGCAGAAAATGCAACTCAGCCTCATTTTTTAAAGCTTAACCGTCTATAGCTCGGTCGCCAGTCTCTATTGCTCCTTTATCGTGGCCATCTGCAGCATGCCTTGCAAAAGCCGAAAAAGCATCTGATCCATCTTGGCTGCCATAATTGAAAGTTGCATGTTTTCGATCACCGGTGCTATGACCTTGTTTGCCATTGTCAAACAAATTAGCGCTTCCAGCTTGAGCACTTCCAAATGCTTCCCATGCATCACCTTTATTCTCCCAATGTTTATCTATAATAGTAATAATAATAATTTGTGATATTTATTGCCTTTAAAAAATTTCTAATGGATATATATAACATTTAAAATTTGTAGAAACCAAATTTTTAAGCATTTAGAATTGTTTCTTCGCCTGGTAATGTCAGAGAATGAATTTTGCGCAACAAAAAGTAAATTTGCAACAGCTTTTAAAAATTTAAAATTACAAAAATTTTCAACGACGAATAATGGGAACCTGCTGGCCAAGTGGGAATATGTGGATGCCAATCTTGACTTGACGAGCACCAATTAAGCAAAGCTGCAAGAGCAACGAGGCTGCGCATAGCTAAGGAATGATCTCTGTACATACGCCTCTACGAATTTATAGTAACGCGCTCATAAAAAACTCGACTATAATGTTTTGGTTTTTCCTCCGATAATTGGTTTATTGAAGATGATGGTGAAATTATTTATTGCGACAAGATATTCACGGATTTTTTTTGGTTTTAGAAAGCGAATTTATTTTCACAATAAAGCAATTATGAGTTGAGTTTTGCTTTAGAACGAATTTTAGAGAAGGACTTGAGTCTGCATTGTAAACAATTCTTCATAAATGTACAGCTAATGTGGCTCAGAATGTCTTCTACATATATATAAAGGTATGGTACTATACTAAATTTCCACCACAAATTTGATTCCTGCACCTTTAGGAGATTAAACCTGTTATTAGGCAACAATCCAAGTATATCCACTTGTGCTAATCAGATAAGTGCTTTATCTCATAGAAAATATCCTTAGGTGGCTCTCGGTCGAAGGATTTCCATCCTTTTTGTATTTATTGTGATAACCAGTGGAGCCAGCTTAATACCAATTTGAAAAGTTGTTCATAACCAGCCAAAATAGATGCTTTCATAAGAAATTTTATAACTTATGTTTTTAATTTTGTGAATAGCTCTTGCATTTCCCAAGCTTCGGTAACTTCAATGACTAAAATACACTATAATAACAAAATACGACAGAAATTATAGTCAAAAAGGAAAGGTTGCAGGTAAATATCATCTTGTAAACCTATTTGAAGAAACTATGATATATTAGTCGTGCAAACATTTTATGATACGACATTGCTAGTTAGTGAAGAGAAAAATGTCCAAATATCTCCCGTGCAACATTAAATTCTTCATTTTTTTTATCAGATAAGAGCTTTATAATATAGAAAATATTAAGGGCACATCAATTTAAGAGTTAAGATGGCAATATTTTACAAAAAACTTTGTTGAAAAGCATCTCTCTCCAGTAAATAAAGATACTAGGAAAAATTTGGCGCTGTTCGTAAAGGTACTGACTATTTTACTACAGGTATTTTTGTACAAAAAATTCTGTCACCTATGATCACATTCTCGCTATATAATTTCTATCTGCTTTCTATAATCATTAAATGATCAGTGAAATCAGATATCGGTGATCCGGTTTCATCTTCAAACTTTTCTTCCTTCCTTTTCGTCCTTTTTATTCTATCCTATTTGATCCTAGTTTTATAATCTCTACGATGAAGTGTGAAAAAAATAATAATTTCACGCCAAATTCCGGATAATCGGTAAATTTCGCTATTTTTCGCTAAAAATTCCAATCCTTGCATTCTTCAGTGAAGGTTATCAAAAAAACGAATTTTTATATTGCACAGCAATGTAATTGTCTCATCGATGATAGAATTAATAGGAATTTCATAGTTGCATGAGTTCAGCTTTTTGTAAAATTAGAATTATTTGCTGAATGAAGCGAACCAGTTTAGTGCGATCATTTGGCGAAAACCGCGAAAAATTTAATTATTTATTTAACGATTATTATATATTATAAGAAATATTTGCCATATCATTCAACGATAAAATAAAATTTTGTTTCAACTAATCGCCATTTTTCTATTGTCTTTTGACGATGATCACAATCGAGTACAAATAAATAACTAATAAATTATACACTTTCGAAAAGAGTCAACAGTCATTACAAGTTTAGCAATGAATTGAATAAGCTTATTTAGAATTATATTAAAATTTTACCTAAACTCTAAAATCTCTCATCTTCTTATTATAGCCCGTACCATTACTGATTGCTGCACTGGCGATTAGGGTAGGCGTTTTCAAGTCTCAATCCGAGGCCATTTCTGAAAGTAATTCCTACCATTCCATTTTCTAACGCATATATCGCCTGGCTTATCGGTTCAGTTCATTGATTGGCTCACTTCGCTGACACCATCTATCACAGGATTTAACAAGTAGTAAGATGCGTAAATTTTATGATGGGCAACGAAGAACATGGCCAACGCAAACGACGCTTTGTGACGGTATTCCTGTCAATCATGTGAGACTCAGCCTACTTGGCGAGTCTATAGGATATATTTTAAGCAAGAACGATCAAAGACAGATTACTTTCTGATATCTTCCATTCTCAATGGGTCAAATTGTAATCGTACAGCAGGCGTACCCATTATATAAATTAGAATGATGCAAATTGCAAATAGCCAAATAGATGCAAATTGCAAATTATTGTTTTGAGGCTGATTTCGAGGCGATTCTGGAGAGGTCTCGTCAAATGAAGGAAGACACTTGTGCACTTCTGGTTGCAGTCCTGCGAGTTGGAATTTCACTTATCACCTGGCCACTAAGTAAGAAAATAGGTGCGACATTTTACCATAACTGAACCATACTTCGACAATAGAAGATAATAAGGGGATATCCTCATGAGCTTATTCCAATTTTTTGCGATCCAGAATAGTTCGGAAGAAATTTTGTCAGCAAGCTCAATTAAGTTAAATGAACATAAAATATCCAACTTTATCCAGATCATCCTTACCAAATATAGGAGTATAAACACGGATGATTTTGCAAAACTTGCGTCTAAACCGAGCCTAGATCAACCGATTACCTGCAAGGTTCATACAATTAAAGCTGCTTCTTTTGAACACAATAGTCGCCATTCTAATTCCTACTAAATTATCCGGAACATTGCGTTGCAGCGAGTAGTTCTTAAGCGGACCAACTATTGCTCACAAGTGAGCGATATCCATACGATATTTGTATAGGATGTGGATGACCATAAGGGTTTGACCATTCATGTCTAAGATACATTTTACGGATTCGTCGAACGGATAAAATCGTACATGATTGTATCCATCTTCGCTCAAATCACCTATATTAGCAATATTATACATATTAGCAATAAACTCAATTCATTGCCGGTTTAGAAAGTGCCCGATTTTAAATACCTTAGGTTCGCTCTAATACCAGATGGCCAGGCAAAAGATGATACTACAACTCGGATCACGGCAGCTAGAAATGCATTCTTCCGGTTGACGAAATCTTTATGGAGCCGTCGTGAAATCACTATAAAAACGAAAGTCCGCATCTATATAGCCGTGATCTGTTCGATCTTGCTATATTGCTCTGGGCTTACGAGAGTGGAAGATACTAAGAGGTTATCTGCCTTTGACCACTCTTGTCTAGGGTACATTTTACGGAACCGTCAAGCGAATAAAATAACAAAAGATCGCATCCATCTTCGTTCAAACACCATCTGTATTAATATTCTGTATTAATGTTATCTGTATTAATATCTGTATTAATGTTATCATAGAGCGTCGCCTTCGCTGGTTAGGGCATGTTCTCCGTCGTCCACCACAGGGGTTGACTCGCTAAATCCTATGATGGTTGGCGTTAAAAGCGAGGAGGGCCAGTCAAGACCTGGACTGATATAGCCAGGGAAGGTTTTGGAAATATAGGGGGACCAGAGATATATGGACTTAGAAGGTGGAAAAAGGAATAACTTCTATTACTATTAGCGATGACGTCGGGACGTCGGGCTGAGCAGTTTGGAGATATCTTACTCTTATAGCCAGCGGAAGCAGCCAAACCAGCAATGATGAGAGCTGTTGGAAGAAGAAGAAGAAGATTTGAATGACAATTTCTCTTTATGACAATTTCTGTTTCATTACTTAAATGGTCAAGTTTTCTGTATAGTTTTGTGGCAATTCACGTTAAATGCTAAAATTTTATTCTGTAAAATTTTATTCAAAAGAGAGAAATCAAATATGAAACTATTCCAAGCAATTTTACTCTAAAGAGAAAAATCGCGGATTCCACTTCGACCCGTTGCTTTGAGTACCGAAATAATCACTTGGTCGATGATATTTTCGAGAACGAAAATTGCTCCAACTAAGCAAACCACAAATAAAAATCGACAAATCTAAAAGGATTCAATAAATTATTCATTAAAACTATTAACTCTGAAAGAATGGAACCAATTTTGAAGTACCAAGTATTCTTCATCGGAATATGATTCACCTTGATTTTTTTCAATCGAATCGTTATCAACCATGAATGCAGCATTTGACGTTGCCATCAAGCACTGAATATTTTTCATTCGGTTCTTTCTCTCAATTAACTGCTGCCCAGCCGTGCTATCACTAGCCGCATATAATCCCTGCTAATGTGTAGTTTACAATATGAAAATATAAGGTAAATGTTAGATCACGACGAGTTCACCAACGCTAAATGTCTTTAAAAGAAAAAACGGTGATACGATTGGTTAAACGAGACTCTCCTGATGGATTCACTGGAATGCGGTGCGGGAACTCGATCACGCTAAACTCGCGAATTTGCTGAATTCAACTCTTTCAAAAAATTAATATTTCCATCATTTTAAAAAATTGGGTACGCTTAGAGCAGTGCTAACGACATAAAAATTTTTTAGCCAATATTTCCCAAGAAAACTTTTGAAATAAACTAATATTAACGAAGCAGTAGATTAGAGTTTTTTGTTATGTGCAATACCTTTTCTTGATAAGTCTTCAACTGTTCATTTTCATCAATAATTAGCGCTCTGATTATATTATTAATACTGTTAAACTGTTTATGATCTTCTTCTGATTCCTGTTCTTCATCTTGCCGAGCATATGCAAATGAACAACCATAATCATCAGTTAAATCGCCCAACCGTGATCGCCTACGTTCTCCACACATCTTAAAAACAATTTGTCAAATTATCTGGTAATTAAAATTTTAAGTCCTCCGGCTCACGTCAACAAGAAGAAAAACGAATTTTATGATGAAGGCAATCATAAATTAACCTTAATTTATAAGAACTGAACTGATAAAACCGCATTCTAGGCTAACCTTAAATTAGTATGAAAAATCGCTCGATCATACTTGCTGCTTACGCCTGTAATCTTTCTTGCAACAAAGTGCAATCTTTTTGTAATTCAAGAACAATAGGATGAAACAAACGAAATTCTATCGAGATATCATATATAAACACAGAAAATTAAAACTCTTAATAGATTTATCACATCTTTAAATGAATGTGCAATCTGAATAATCCTTTATGATCACTGAATGATAATGATATTGAGAACCTGATAAATTTTAAATGAAGACAAAATCCAATATTGGTGGCACGAAGTGGAAGTCCTTAATGATAAAGTATCGATACAGAATTTAGACAAAATTCAAAGAATTTCGGCACCATAAATACAAATTACCTCCAAGAGCTATTAAACGAAAAAGTACCAGCCACCGCACCTACTGCAACCCGCCTAGGGAAACAGAATATTTCAATGAGTTACTGCTCTCACTTCGGAACACCGATACTAAACCTACTTCTGGTTCGAATAAAACTGTCTTTCAAAAATATGGATGGTGCTGGCAACTTATTTGTATATCACCAAATAATTTTATAACCAAACTTGTCTGGTCCAGTGGAGCGAGCAGAATAAGAAATGATGAATGATCTTTAGAAAATAAAAAAAAAAATTAAGAATTTATGAATTGGTTCTGATGTGTGGTAATGAATGAACGGATGATTTTTTTACCTTAAATAAGGGAGCATATTTGGGCGAGAAATTAAGGTTTAAAAAGCGCAATAAACGAAAATATTAGCTTTATTCACCAATGATTATAAAGGCGAAGAAACATAAGTTTTAAAAATAAGTAAAAATAAATTTTATAAAAATATCAAATGATACTGACAAAGTTTTTCGCACAAAATATAAATAGATACAAGTTTACTTCAACGACAACAAAGATGATTATGAAAAAGGATAAACAATGATATTTAAACAACTTAACTATTTACCAAGTGAAAATACTGGAAGTAACAAATAAAAAGGTAAATAAATATACATTAGGAACAGAATGTCATTTGAAAAAGATTTATTTGCATTGAACAAGGATCTTTAATTCAATTCCACAACCAAAAATTGATCCCTAGTGAAACAATGTTTTTTTTTTAAGAATCCTCACCATTAGTGGTTAAAGTCGCTCCACTGGCTTGTCGCAATTGGGCAATATGCCAGGGAGTCCCTTGGCGATAGAAATACAGGTGAGTCGCCAGCATTACGCGGATTTTTGTACAGGTTTACTTCTGTGGGAAATCGAACCTCAGCATCGGCGCTCCCAATTGAGCAACAACCCACTGAAACACTCTACCCCCTACATGCATATATATATAAAATTCCCTTCTCATCGATGTGAGTGATATAGATCAGCCTTAACCTTGGGTCCTTTACCAGTGGAGCGAGTTTAACCAATAATGGTGAGGACTCTTAATGCAGTGAAACAATATGAAAGCCAATATTTTATGATAACTAAATAAAATAAAACCATCGAACTTTCTCTACAGAGAAAAAGCAAAGACATAAAACTAAACAAACTTCGATAATGTTATGCAATAATTTGAATAAATGCAACTGCTAACAAATATTTAGTGATGATTATAAGACAATTTAAGAAATCCGCTTTGACTTGCGAGCTAAAATAAAATTTAAAAAATACTCAAGATCAAATAGAAAAATAACTTGTTAGGTACTTTTCATGAGTAATAGAACGCTGTAATTACAAAACTTACATTGCAAATTACAAAAAGAAAAAAAAGCTTAATAAAATTTACCTGCTACATGACAGACTTGGGCAGTTACACCTATGCGACTAAAATAATCAAGCCAAAGTCTCTGTTTTGTAGACAACTTATCATTTGGGCCTTTCACTTCAACAACCTGCAATGAACAAATATGTCAGTGAATAAAATAAGCTGAAATTGACCCCATTAACAACTCTTAATGAAAGTTTTATAATCGGTAATAAAATAATTTATCCGTAACGATCCTATAATGCACCACAAAAAGTGACTTACAGCCAATCTGAAACAATCAGCATTCCAAAGTGTCAAATCAGGAAATCCACTTCGACAATTTCTATAGTCCATGGCCAAACGCTTGAACACAGCAACTAGCATTTCTGGTTTGCAACAGGAAATAAAACGCTATAAAATATTTGCTAAGAACTAATTTCAAGTACTAACAACTGAACTTTTTTTTCGCAAAAAACTGAAGTATATATTACAATACAAATAACTATAGAATATTTTCTAAAAACAACCTCCAACCTCTATTTGCTCAAAGCCACTGAAACAGCCCCACGATATTTCCGAATTCGTTTCACCATAATGTTTTTCATAAACTGGTTTGATAGTTTCCAAAATCTTTACAGCAGACAAATGCTGAATTTCCGAAAACTTCTTGTCGAAACCAATTTTACGCATATCATAGAAACCCTTCACATTAAGATCAGCAGGATTGATCTATTATTGATTATAGATTTCAAAACAAATTTAAAAATTTATGTTTATATGTTTATTCATAAACAGAATTTACATTTTGATTTCGGTTATTTGATAGGAAATATAGAGGAGGGACTAACAAGATTTAGTGACAAAAAGTGATTTAAGTGACGTAATTTTAACGGGAGGAAACCGCTGAAGTTACTATTGATCAGAGAAAATTGCAACTTACTTGGGTTTCACTGAACCAAACATGTTCAACACTTTGATCAAAAATTACATCGTAAAACAACAAGCCGAAAATTGTATGCCATATAACGCCTTCGGAATGAAGACCTAAATTCTGACAAAATTGCGCGAAAACTAAAATGCATTCATATTCAGTACAGTAACTACAGAAGAAATAAAAATTATAAACTATAAAAATATGTATAGAAGCTTAATTTTTTTTTGAAATTTTTTGAATTAGGGGCTTTTCAAGAAGTAGGTTGGTGATAAAAGCTGAGATAATCATTATGACAAATTAATCGATGGCTTTCAAAAATGAATATGAATAATCAGAAGCTCGATTTAAATGAATCAATTTAGCTTCTTTTAACCATTAGCTCTCACCATTATTCGTTAGGCTAGTACCATTGGGTATAAAATTAGGAAGTTTCCAAGCTGCTCGATGTGATGCCATCGTTGATAGTAACAGAGTCCATATATCGCTGGTCTCCTTATATGTCCAAAATCTTTCCTGACTGTATCAGATCAGGTCTTGATTGGCCCACCTCGCTTTTGACGCCATCCAACACAGGATTTAGCAAATAACGAAGTGTATATCAATTCCTATGATGAAGAACGTGCAATAAGCAGAAAAGTCGACGCTCTGTGAAGGTAATGGAGGTGGTATTTGAGCGAAGGTGAATGCATGTGAGATTTTATCTGCTCGGTAAACTCAAATCTATTTTAGACATAGGTATATACCTTCTTAATATCAATTGGAATAAATAAATCAAAAAATCACCTTCGTTAAACCCGCATTTATTCAAATAATAACTGAGAGCAATTTCTTCGACAGAACATTCACGCCATGTATTTTCGCTACAAACTATGTATCAATTTAATAAAGAATTTAAAACGATTCAGCATCTGACGTAAAGCCACAGATCGGTTCGCATATTAAATCTAATCAAAGGTCTCAAATAATCCTTAAGATTAAAGAAAATGTAAAAAAACACCTGCTGATGATGAAACGATAAGCCTGTGAATCACCTAAATTTTTGCTGAGCACTATGCCTTCAATATCGACTTTTTCTAAAGGTTCCAATTTCAGTGGCCCCTTCCATGAAGCATTCAACTTTTCTCCTCTATCCTACAAATGTTAATAAAATAAATCAAGTTTAAAGAAAACATTATTTGGAAAAAATGCAATAAAATTAATAAAACTTACCTGTAACAGAAGAAGATCTTTTTCTCCAAGAGTAGTATCATTCACCCCTAAGGTAATGATATTTAAAACCTCATCATTTTGTTTTAGATGGAAATTCAAATTCAATGCTAAACGATCCCACCAAGCACCGCGAATGCTGGGCACAAAAAATTTGTAATCTATAAAATTAATATTGAATCAATATAGTAAAGTAATCATTTAAATGCAATAAATCTCTCAGCATCACACTTCTCAATTTTCCTTTTAATTCCACAAAATCGAAAAACTCAATGATTATATGATTAAGCTATTTGATTTAATAAAGTGTAATTACGATAACCATAGTGAAAACTTTACAAATATTGATAATCTATGAATACTTATCTTTAATTACCTTTACATTTTAAAAAAATTAAAAAATTGCTTAAAATAAATGATAAATAGAAAATGGTTAACCCAAAATGATAAAAATAATAATTTCTAATCATTTTAATAATTTATTAATAAAATATCAACATCAACTCACGGTCATTGAAGAGTAATTCCCGCAACCAATCAACAGCTTTCTCATAATCACGCATTCTCTGCAACGCATTTACGCCATGAGATATACACCTGAAAACGAAGGTCGCTTTATAGACATGAAAAAAAATTCAGATCATGGTTTATGATGCATCTTTAAAATATGATTAAGAACGAGATTTTTTAACATAAAGTGGGAAAAACACTGCTATTCCCACATATTTTTGATCTATTTGACAATTTACTATGTTCGTATGCATCCTGGAAAAGATTCATTTCCTCCAAACTCGCGCAAATTTTATCATTGTTCTTCAACCCTGAGCAAAGTTCTCTATTTCTTAAATTAGTCTATTCTCCTCAATAATTCTTTTCCACTCCCAAAGTACAACTTCACCCAAACCCCTTAATAATATTCTTTTATATATAATGCTTCAAACTTTCCAAATTGCACCTCACCTCCACAACACCATCCTCGGAAACTTTTATATCTCATTAATACCTTTCAAAGTCCCACTATGTTTACTTCCATCAAATTACATTATTTTAATTGAATTTTTTTCAGCCTTTTTATGCTTTTTTCTCGTCAAAGAGAAGGGAAGGGAATCCTTACATAATTCCTTAAGTAGATACTCAGAACCTTTTATAACTTTCATAGTTCGTACTAAAACTTCTTAAATTTTCTTAAACGATCCATCAAAATGCATCGAATTTTTTTTTTTGATAACATGAAGTAAAACTTCTTCAGATTTACTTTTAATATACTGTCTTATAGAATAAAAATGGTGGAGAACTTTGGACGATTATAGTGGAAATTTGAAATTGCTAGGGTAGAATTACAAGGATTTGAAAAGTATCATAACAAAATTTCTAAAATTTTATTAAGGGAGTACAACAGATTTTAAGAAGACATCAAAAGGAAATTGTGAAGAATCGAATTTTACTAATAAGATAATAGATACAAAAAAATCTCAAATTTATTAAACAGTGATGTAAAACGATAAAAAATTACCTGACATAGACCCATAAATCAGTGAATCGGCGCAAGTGTAATGGTAAAGCAAGGTGAAAGATACTATAAATTGCTAGTAATTAAATAATTTTCATATTTTTCATATTTGAATTCATAAGACAATTAAACAGATTTTCAAAAGAATAGCAAAATTTTAAGAAAACGAAAATTTCACCTATATTTTAAAAAATCTTCGCAAAATTTCTGGCGAGCTCGGTCTCCCAAATCTATCACAGAAACCCACTGATCCCTATTAATTAAATAAGAAATGGCAGCCTCCAATTCTTTCGCTTTCACATATCTGAAGAAAAAAAATTTTAGCAAACAATCGATATGCAAAAATTTTCACATTGGCACATGAACAAAAAAAACCTGTAAAGTTGATTTTTATTGTTGAAAATATCAATTAGCTGTGGTGATGCAGGAGCAGGAAAACGCACTTTATTTGTTGCTGATTGTAACAGCAAAAATCTGAAACAATGCAAGAACAAAATAAGAAAAAAAACCAAGACAAAAATTGAAGAAAATTGGCAAGCTCATTATAAAAACTTATTTATTAAACTATTTTTTAAAAAAATTCATTTCAAAATTATTCTTCACATGAAAACTTAAACGAAATCAGCAAAAATAAAAATTTTTAATATAATATATAATATAATATAATATAATATAATATAATATAATACTAACAGCAATTGAGAATTTAGATTCAGCGATGGCTGATCCAATAAAAGAGATGAATCCATATCGCAGGGTGAAAAAAGGGTGAAAACTGCATCGAAGAAAAGCGACACATCCCTGTTTATTCGATAGTATAAACCAAGCTCTTCTCGAATTCTCAAAAAGTTTACGAATTCAAAAATTAAAATCATCACAATTATTAGATAAAAACAAGCTTAATTTTAAAAATGCGAAAAATCGTCTTCAAATAAAACTAAAACTAACATGGTAAGCATTCTCTGAGCAACTGAAATTCCAAGAACATTTTTCTGTGCAGAAATCTTTAATAAAGAATAACGAAGTTTTGCTATAGTCATATTAACATTAACTTTGAATTGCTTAGCAACTTTTTTTAGGGATGGTCCACTCAATAAGTTAATGGCTTCTTGGAGATCGTTCAGATTATCGTTATCTAAAACATAAAATAATTTGAAAAACTATTCAAATATAAACGATTTCAAAAACAAAAAGAATACTTGAATCAACCAGCTTCAGTTTATTCAGTTCGAGAAACAGTGGACCCAGATCTGTTGAGATATAGCTATAACTGAAATTAGTGACATGAAGAACAATTTAGCTCGTAAAATTTTCACTCAAATATGCACAAAATCTTGAAAAAATCTTTGACTAAACCTTCGAATATAGTTTTTATCCAAATAACTGAAGAAAAGGAACTGAAGAAAAAGAATGGAAATTTTGTCAATATCATTGAATAATTAACCTCTTAAGCCATTTACCGAATAAGAATCAATTAAAAAACGTACAAACTTACTTTAACTGAGAAACGGCTAGCCATTTGCGTTTACGCAAATATATTCTCACAAACAATTTTTTAGCCTCATCTGCAAAAACAACATAAAAAAACAAACTGATATATCAGATTAAGACATAAAAACTCGAGAAAAATATAAAAATTTCTAAAAATATTTTATGGTCAACTAGAAAGAGTGGCTTAAAGTAACCTGGAAAAAATTTCTAACCATATTAATAGGTAACAGACCAAGCCTAATCAGAAATGGTGACCACTTATTTTTTAATTTTACTTACTTACCAGAAAGAAGCAAGAAATTTTTTATAATCCACATTTCAGTGCCCCAAAACTCTACGTTGTTCCATGTTCCACGCTCCACTTCATCAACAAAAACCTTAAATCAGTGTTTTGCAACAAATTTCAATTAAAAACCTTCCTGTTCAAGAAAATTTGAAAATTCGAAAAAGAAAAAAATAAATCTAGCCATCTCCATTATATTTTTTAAACTATTGAAAAATTAACTGATCATTTTTCGTCTTCCTTTGTATAATTATGCATGTTTCTGCATCTTCCAGCAATTTGTAGTAATGAAGCATCAAGATTTGATTTAAATAGTTGTTAACTATCTCAAAACTTGAAATTTTCTGCTCAAATGGAAATAATTACCTTTTTAAGGATCCTTTGAAAAAGTGTTAAATAATATGGAGCAACAGCAGTGGAATTTTCGTCACCACTAGAAATCTGATTACTCAAAGCCTCATTCTCCGCTTTTTTTGAAATTGTAAATTGTAGCTCTACATTGAGCATTTTAAAGGCTTCACGGATATTTTTGTCAACTATTTCGAGATCAATTTCATTTTTCTCACTGTTAGAAGAATTGCTGAAAAATAAAAAGCTTTTTGCTGAAAAAAAGCGATAAAAAAATTTTAGTTATATGAAACTTTTTGAAAATTTCGAAAAACCTTGAATATGGGCAGAAGAAACGATCAACATTTCGACATACAGATGCGGGTTCTTCAAAATGACAATCGCTGGAAGATCGTTGAAGCGAATCGTCCTCATCTATCTAAAGTTATGGCGAATATTAAAGCAGAATATTAAAATCAAACAAGGGTTATATTGCGTATTTCAAATAACGATTAAACGTGAAACCTTGCTGAAAGTAGATGATATCGAAAAATTCTTGCTGTTCGGACAATCGACTTTCGCACATTCGTCGATATTTCCCGAATCACCTTTTTTAGTAAAATTTATTGCATCCAATAACTTCGACCGCTTATTTTCATTGCGATGAGACACCGCCTTAAATTCGTATAGAAGAATAAAGAAAACTTTAAATAAATATGAATATGAATATCTATAAAAATAAGTTTCGCTGAATTACAGCTGATAAACTTTAAGAAAAATAGAAAAAATAGAATTATCATAGATTTCTGAATTTAAGAAAATTTCTCGATAGTCTCAACAAATATACTTGGACGAATTCAGACGAAAAAAATATTAAATAAGCGGCCATACTTCTGATGGACTTTCTCTAGATTTTCTCTTCTTTGGTGCTTTTTTATTGCTTTTCAGTTTTATTGCTCGAGATGTGCACGGCTCGTCCGAGAAAACAGTATCATCGTCCACAGTTGACGAGGATACGCACGGCTCATCGAGGACAACAGTGCCATCGTTCTCTTTGGTGGAACTGTCATCGAGAGAGATCAATTGTTCTAATGCTTGACGTTTTTTATCTTCAGCAGTTAGCACCTGCGTTACCTTGAAATTAAAAGAGTTACATAAATGATAAGGAATTTAACCAATTTGGCTAAAATGAATAATTGGCGATAGCCACCATAACAAGGGTGGTACCAATTATGGCAGCAAATAACGGTAATAATAATAATTACAACAATAATTTGCAAGGCATAACGCTCAAACGTTGCCGGAACAAAAGCCAAGATCCCCGCGGGAGAGACTAAGCCCATCGTTAAATCCAGGCGACTGGAAGAAAATGAATTATTACCATGCAATCTTCATCTCCCGAATCCGTAAAGCATGAATCCAAATGACGACGAATTATTCCGGCTGGAAAATTCTCTAAGCATATAGGACACTGTTTTATTTCGGCTTGCTTTTTAAACGCTTCCAGTATACTCATTTCTTCCTAAAATTCAAGGTCTTTAGTGAGGGAAAGAATCCATTCGCTAAAATGTAAATCCGGACCCACCCTCCACAAATTCACCAAAGCACTTGAAGAGCAACTGAATCACGGTAGCGCGGACCAAAATTATGGCCGCAAAATTGCGATGCCTGGTGAGTTTTCGTTCCGAGAAATCCTAGGAATACTTTGTGATCCAAAATGTTAGATTTTATAAAAATCAGATAAGCAATTAGAGTGGTTGAATTGGTGCAAAACTAGCGGTACTTTGGAAGTTCCTCAACCGTTTTGAAGCAAATGTCTTCGCATTAAAGCTCGCTGCTAACTAAAAATCTAAGTAAAGAATCATCCGTCAGTCATATCATCCGTATAATTCGTATACCCCCACATTTAGCTGTTTAGGTAGTATCATTTCATCGTTGAAAATTGCCTTTTGAGCGAATAGTGCAAACGGAGAATCGTCTTTCGATAACTGAGTACAAGTGACTCGTTTTGATTTGTATTAAGTAGAGTTAGCGAAAATTCATTCAAGAAATGTGCTCTTTGCGCGAATTCGAGGCAGAAATTGAGATTGGCACAAACGAAGGTTCTTCGTTTCTGCCTTTACTTTTATCCTTTACTTAGCTATGATTTTTGCTGAAAATCGTTTTTTTGGCCTTTCGGCTTATTCTTTCAAATTGCGAAATTATTTGCGAATGTTATGAAGCTCTGTGCTAACAGAATGAAGTGAACTGGAAATATTGCGAAAACAACTGCAAAGGTTACGAAATGTTTATGCGACAAACCTTAAACTATTGATGTTCGCTTGAAAGCCTTGATAAAGTTAAAATTATTATTAAAATTATTAATTATTATACAATAAATAAAAGCATAAAATTATGCGAAATATTACATGAAAATGCAAATTTCATCAGAAGGATAGCCTCAGTGGTACTAAGAAACATCGGAATTTATGGAAGATTTGCCAAATAAACCATCCGTTTGATGCACCGAGCAGAATCCAATGATAGCGTTTCAATCACTTTCTTTGAATAAAAAACAAGTAACTTTCAGGACGTTATTTTGGTCCCAACATATTTCAAATTTTCAGCAAATAGTTTCCTTTCTTTAAAGGGAAATTCTTCCTATTATTTTGGTTTAAAAATAATTTTTAAGAAAAAATGTTTGTGAAAGAACAAAAATCATGTTTTTTCTGATGAAGTGTGGGCCAGGATGGCCTAGTGGATAGAGGACCATTGGACCATTGTGTTGAGAGGCAGAAAACTGGCCACTTTATTAGGCAGAAATAAAGCTGTAATTGAAAAATTCCAGTATTGCTGATGAGCTAGCACAGTCATTTACTGGCGAAAATTGCTAACGGCACTAATAGCCAGCCGAGTTAGCCTAACGAGGAATGGCGTTAACTACTTTCTTTTTTTTGCTTGGCATGAAATGAAAGTAAACTATCATAATTTTTATGACCATAATACAAATATAAATAAAAGCATTTGCATTAAAATAAATTGGCATGAATATTATGAGTGGAGCTTTTGAAAAATGACAGAATTTACCCGCAATGAACTATCTATCATGCGACAGTGCGTTCAAATTGATCTCAGTTCTCTGGAAATACAACTTCAGACATATTGTTAAACTGTTCTTTGTGGAATTCTCTGAAATCTTTTGACGCACAGTTATAAATATGAAGGAACAACACAAAAAATGCAGAGATTTTCTTTGAAATATAATTGCGAAAATGTAAGCCCAAATTGGCAATTCATTTATTTGCAGCCAATAATTATCACAAATACAGTTTTTGAATATTCGCTGGTAATTGCTTGTGATTTTCGACTAATATATTTGAACATCTTTCTGCCTCAACGAACATCTTGCTCGGCTTCTCCTTATGTTAATAGTACAACTCTTATTTTTTAATCTTGTATAAAGGTGATGTGGCATTATTGTACGTCTAACATCGCTACTGTACGCTGAACTTAAGATGAGAGCAGTAGTTTCGTTCGGCTTTTCAATTAGTCGATAGGATTGTGATCTGACGGGATTTACGGCTCGTAACCTTAGACCGCAAAATATTGTTTTGATAACCTAAAATACTTTTCAAATTTGCATGCTCTTTAAATATTTTCGCTTGAGGGCATTCAAATTTTTTAATGAGTACTTTTTATTTATTTATCTTATAAGCATTAATGAATCTTAGAAAACAAAATTTCTTTTAATATTAATAATCAAAAGTTTATGAAGAATTTAAAAACAGAACAAAAGAATGAGATTTTAAGTAAAACCAAAAGAGAATCCAGAAATTATAGTCAAATTTTGAGGTGAATGCACCGAAGATTAAATATATAAGTTTCGTTCGTTTATTTTTGAGCAATTCGGGTCATTTATCGCACCAGTAGAACAAATATTCTATGCATAAAATTTTAAGGAAAAATTTAAAACCTCAAAGAAAACGGTTCGATATTTGCTTCCAAATATTAGATAGATGATGATCGTCGTAGCTCCATTTAGATTCACTAGCACAGTGGATAATTCAACAAGGAATTGAAAATATGAACTGGTAGCAAACGAATGAAAAATTAGCTCAACTATGTTATTAACGAATGAAAGCACATTGAATAGAAGAAATTCACTTATGATTGCCACAAGCATTACTGTAATGCCGTCTTCACGTTTTTCACGTTTTTCTAAAAATCAAATTTTTTTAAATCATGCAAATTTTATTCGTTGTAAGTATGTCGTAACGAGTTTCAAATCGGATTAACATAAATCCCAACTGCTCATTTAGTCTATTAACATATTGCAATGAAAAGATTGAATATTCATTGAATATTCAGAAGAGTTTAGGAACTATTGGTAAGTTTGCAAAAACGTAAAAAATGAAGGCCAAAAAAACTTCGTTGCAGATCATACCGCCACTTTCAACACTTCTTTAACCCACCACTATACTAAATAATATTGGTCATACCAATTCATGTTTTAGTCCCAAAGCGAAAGTGTGGAATAGGGCTTTTTCAGCGCTTATACGATATGCATGCATAAAATTTTATGAAAGATTTCACTTCCGAAAGGATTGAAATGCAAATCAATGAATGAGAAAAAACAAAAAGATTGATGTTTTCTTAAGAAAAATCCAGTAAAAGTATAAATTGTGGAAGAAAAAAGTTGTGCAAAAGAGGATCTAAATATTCAGTGGATTCAAACCATCGCAAATCGAGATGGAAAGGAAGAATAAGGAAAAAAATATTCCTAAAAAAACATATGGCATTATAAATTTAAGAGAATTACTAAGTCTCACCGTGCCTTAAAACTTCTTTTGATTCTTTGTTGCTGATTTGATATTCCTTTTTAGAATTTAGCAATTCATTCCTCTCTCGTACTTTCATACTTTTACGCATTCTGCAACAACAGTTAAATGTTAAATCGCATTTGATTTTCCCATATAAATAAATAAATTCAAATTGCTTAAAATCTCTTATGAGGTTCTTTCTCGTAAATCACCACGTTAATGACGTTGAACGATCGTTTCTAAAATAGGTTCTGTTGGTTCGAAAAGAGGCAACGATGATTACTCAAAGTAAATAAAGTAATGATAGCATATTTATTGCTGATTTCACTTTCATTTGGCATGTCATCTGTAAATGCAAGAAATCAATAGTACTAACTTTGCTGACGACTGTAATGCTTCGATTATTTTGAAATTAACGATCGTTAATGTTACAAATGGTATTAAGAATACCACCACGATGAAAAGGACAATTCTATAGGCAATAATAAAGTCGTAATTTTGTATCAATGGAGCTGGACTGACCATTTTAGTTATCCTGTAATTTTTTTCTAAAGTGCTCGGCTAAGCCCACTCTTCTGGCTCGTTGAACCAGTCAAATTTTATCAGAGAGTGATTTAGCGCTAGAGCTGTCGTCAGGATCCCCCCGATTTTCGAAAGACAGATCTACTCCTTTCAAGAGAAAAACTCCAGCTGGCGCTTGAAAATGAGGGCAATGATCTGCTGAGCTATTCTATCTCTAGTAATTCTGCAATTAAAGATTTTTCTATAGCGCTATAAGAAAGGCTTATGAATTCGGTTCGACAATGCTAGTAATTTATTTTGCTGGATTGAAAACGAACCATACTTTAATTATATTTTTTGATAGCGAGCCAATTCGAAAAAAATTGAAAAGTTCAAAAATATTAAAGTTAGTTAGTCTATAAAGTAAGTTGGTTTTTTACAAGCAGTAGCTCATGCATGAAACATTCAATGCACACGTCTATTCCAGACGCAAAAAACTATGGCAAAAAAAGTAGAAAATGTTAAACAGATTAATTTGGAAATGCAGTAACATAATTGAAAAATAAAAAATTTGGAAAAATATAAAAATCTTTACCTATGGAATGTTTCGCTAATACAAGCTTCATTTTCAAGTTCGAACCACCGTGGAATGTTGAACAATATAGAAAAAAGTATTACACCAAATATTACATATTTTACTGCATTGGGGCTGCTAATTCTTCTTATCTGAAATAACAATTTTAAATTGCATTTGCGATTAAACTAAATCTAATAACAATTATATTATGAAGTTTTTAAAGTAATTTTCATTCATTTCCATTTCTTTTTTCGACATTTTTTGGCATAATTCCATTATTTTTTTATATTTCGGACAAAATAGGACAACACTTTTCAATGAAAAAGGTGTAAATTAGCTGGAAAAGAAAAAAAACTTGCTTACCAAAAACGGATGACAAATGGCAAGATATCGATGTACGGAGACGAGAATCGTTAAGTAAACTGTAGTCATATGTGCAGTGTGAGCGACTGGATAAAAAAATACAAGGAAAACAGGTGATTTATCAACAAATATGAAATTGCCCGAGTGTTCAGCTATAACAGGCATGGAGAAAACAAAGAACGTCGAGAAGAATACCATCAGATCAGCAACCGCCAAAGCAAGAAAGAAGTGATTTACCAAGTGGCTTACCATCTGGAACTTGTTGAAAATGTTTTAAAGTAGATACAACTTTAGGCAGTAAAATCTTAATGCCACCATATTCTATTAATAGGATGGAGATTACTGAAAGTTTAATCATATTTACTCCTAAACACTTATATAACGAATTTTTTTCCCAGCTAGAATAATTTTTTAGGGATTATAGCTGATAAAGATATGGTTGTAGTTCCACCCTACATTTTAATGGAAAATGTTCTACAAAATTTCGGAGAATCCTGTGATGCTTAATTTAAAAAAAATTCTGCCATAGCGGTGAAAAGATCCTATGAAAAGTATTCATCTTTAATCTTCAGAAATAATCATCAGTTGAGGGTGCTAAAAGTTCTTTCGATGATCTTTCAACAAACTTTAGATGACAAATTATTGGTGCTTTATAGACCTGCTTATGGCCGAATACACAGATATTAATAAGATTGGCGAAAATTCCAAAAAAACACATCGATGGAATTATGTAAATTCGAAATGTTGCTTGCATTGGTGAAAAAGTTAATTCATTCGAATGGTGACATGGCTTAAGGTTCGCATCATTCACTTCTAAACTCATTTTCCTGAAAATTTTTATGAAATGAAATCTTTATGCTTTGTATTTGTATTTTTATTTTGATAAAAATTATATGAATGCGCTTATCGCAGTACGAAATCAATCTAATAGATTCGTTGAGATAGTTAAGTGCTCACATTGTTTATATGAAAAAACGGAGAGAAGTATGGAGTCAATACTGAATAATTAGAATAAAAACTATGAAAAAAAGTCGTTCACAGATGGATAATAAATTCAGTGATGGCACAACTTTTGATGTTGAATAGCAAATTTCGATAGAATCTATATGAAGGCTGAAGGCCGCAAACATAAAAACAAAAATTTTTATTGGAAATACACTACAGTGGGGCTAAAGCTGGGTTAGCTTAACTCACAAATGTTTCTAAATTTGGTTTTTTTTTTTAATATATTGCGTTGAGAGGATTTAATTTTTGTGAAGGCATTTTAACAGGAACAATAAGTATTCCCAAAAATTAACGCAATTTTTAATTTTAAAGGAAGGAAAATAATTTTATTCGATACTAAACGAATTATTGACTTAAAAACTTTGTTGCTAAAAGTTATGAAAGCAGAGAAATGCGAAGAATTTCATTGAAGCCACATGTGGTTTTCAATACAGCTTTGGGCCAACACTGCAATGTGGTTCATTGAATTTTATAAATGATTTAAATATTTTTTACATTGATTTTTAGAAAAAATGCTGGACAAATTGAAAACCTGCTTTACAGAATTTTTTTCTAGGAGCGACCACCATCTGGGCAAGTTTTGCCACGGATTTTCGAAAGATAAATTTACTTCTACCTCAAGTAGAACCACAGCAACAATAACTACTGAGCAATTCTAACCACATCGCAGACTGTGAATCAACTGAATGCCAAATGTGAAGCTGATCTTTATCCATCAAACTAATCAGTTTCTGTTAATTTATAAATACCAAAGCTCTGTTTGATCTTCAGTTTCTGAGTTTTTCGTTTTATGGAAAATGCTTTTGATTTGATTTAATTTGTTTTTTTTTGGCTTGAATTTTAAGACCTTATTTCTACAGTGCTTTGCATAGAGAAGGTGTAGTGGTCATTTTATCCGCAAATGGGATATGGCGAAGCCCATTATTTTCAGTTATTTCTATTGTTTTCTGTTATTAAAACTGTTTTTTTTATGATTTATTTTTTAATTTCCATTTAATTGATATTATAAAAATTTTCAATTTTATTATTTTATACATCATTAAAGAGCTAACAAGCTATCATTAACAAGCTTGCAAATCGTGAATTATTTGAGTTCCACGATTTATTGCCAAATATGCGGTTTCGATTTGGAAATTGTGTGCAACATTATCAGTGCTTCAGTGTCTATTATTCTGTTAATAAAACATTTGCTTAAAATCTCAACAGCTTTTTACAACCCACATTTATTAAATAAGGTCAAGCAGATACATAAAGGATTAAGCATAGGGAGAGAGAGACGGTGGGGAAGGTAGAGGGGGGTGGAGGTATGGTGCATACTGAGGAAAAGCCTCAATCAAAAACTTAGTACACTCACTTCTACACTATAAAAAAATTTTCTTCTTTAAGATACATTTTTAGTTGCTGACGCAATTTATTGAAATTGAATAAAGTGGCAATTTAATGAACTGATGAGATTTAAAGTAAAATTAAAAAACACGTTGGAAACGAAATAAAAATTATTGAAAATTTTAGAAAAACTAATGCTAAAAAATGTTGTTTCTTTTTCGTTTTTCATGAAAGAATTTATTTTTTCTCGTTTCTTAAGTTTCGAAAAATCTTTCCTCAATATTTGAATAGCTCATAGTTGAGTAACTTTCATTTTTTGCTTCACTAATTTTCTATATTCAAATTATTGAAGTTTATTTCCAATATGATATGCACTCTTTAAAAAAAAGAAGCAGAGTGGCTCAATGGGTTGTTACTCGCATTTCAGACAGCCAATGTTGATATTTTACTTTCAAAAGTAGCAAATTTGCCTTTAAAAAAAATCCGATACGACGACCTACCGTACTTCTGTCATTAAGTGATTCTCTGAAAAAAAATTCTTTGTTTCGAAAAACTTGCGGAATTTGATCAAAAATGCCTCCAAGAAGAAAAATGCATTCATTTAACTTAAATGCCTCCACGGAATATAGTCTAATCCAATGCAATGAGCCATCGAAATTTTTGGAATGGAATAGGGAATGCACCTGAGGCAGAAAACTGATAAATGGCAATGATTGAATAATGCAAATGGCAAATTAAAGTGATTAAACAAGGCTTTAATATAAATCAAACGTTAAAGAACAACAACAAAATTTTCAAAGCTTTTTTAAAACTAAGCACTAAATAATTTATAAAAATTTACGAGACTCATTTATGTAATATTCAGAAAATAGTTCGATAAATGTTGACTACGTTTCGTTACAAATGAGTTGAGCAAGGAAATGGATAAAAAATGGACAAACAAAAAAAATCTTAAGGATTTCAAAACTTATGCATTGTTATCCGAGGATAAATAATTCGAGTAAAGATATTTAATTAAAGGAAATGGTCCTTATTTAAGTGATTTTTCACCTTAAAATAAAAAAATTTTTTACCTTAATTTTAAAATAATTTTAAATTAAATTAAAAATTAGGATAATTACAAAAAGTCACGCACTTTTTTATAATTATTCCGTGTATTGCTGAATATCCACTTGTACCGTTCTCAAGTTACAAAAAGATTCTAATTGCACAAGCAGATAACCAAACCAGTAATGGGGATTGGTTAAGAAAAAGAAATAGAAGACAATGTCAGCCTAAAGATTGGAGAAAAAATAGAAATCTCAATCAGCGATAACTGATTTGCACTGAAGGAAATAGTAACAACATATAGGGTTTGCTGCCCTACACACGGTCTCTCTTGAGCGTTATACGTTAGAAATTATATATTCAATCAAGAAATCTTGCAAAATCACCGTTAATCGCTTAAATTGAAAGAATATAGGTAAATAAAAACACGACTGGCAATAACTTTCCTTCTCTACGACCCTTTTTTCTCCGTAAATATAAGGATTCAAACAACGACTGCTTTCCACTAATTGGCAGTTTATAATTATTGATAATTTGTTTCGAAATTTGAAGTTTTTGATTTTAAAAAAATCCTTGAACCCTATAATGCAGTATTTAATTCCATATGTGCCATTTACATCGAATTCATTTTCTAGAATATGAAGGTGAAAACTTAAAGAAAACTTAATTCAATACATATGAAGCTGTCATGTAAAAGCTAAATAACCAATGATTATTATCCACATTGCAACAAAGGAAGCTTATTTAATGAAAACAGTTTATAATAATAGAATAATAATAAAACAATAATAAGAATAAAATAATAGATTTGCATAAAAGAATCATTTCAAGAATGATATAGAAGATATGGTAATCAAGTTTTAAAAAAAAAGATCAAAATCCCATGCAGATCTAGAGGCAATGAAAGTTTCTCAAGAAATAGCAGGCGAAATTCAGTGGAAGCCAAAAAAGAAAAAAGTTTTTAACCGTCAATATAATCGAGTTCCTTTTCAGAAAAATAAAACAGCTCTTCCAACTATAGTGCAAGAATATTCAATGGACATTACTATAGGGAAAACTCGTTGCTTTAAGCAGACGATTTTATCATTTTAAAAATAGATAAGAAATGTGAAATGTCATATTTTTGCTATGAAACTTCCACAAGATAATAAACCGGAGACGAATTAGTTCAGTGGATTGCTCTCATTTCCGAGCGCCGAAGCTGAAGTTCTATTCACACGTAAGAATAAACATGTATTATATTGCAAAAATTCGTATGTCGCGGATGATTCACCTAAACTTCTATCGCTAGATAAGTCCATTTCAAAAGTTAATCTAATCCGACTGAGCTGGAGCCAATGAAACAATAGAAACCAGGAATGATAAGCGCTCTTTACACTTTTTAAAAATGTGCAGAAAAAATCCTAAACATTTATTGATATCGTCAGTGATAAAAAAATTTCAGAACTTTTTTTGATAAGTCAAGTGAAAATAAAAAATTGATTACCTGAAGTCTTTTTAAAAAGATATTTTTTGGAACGTACCGTCGTTGGATTTATCTAATCAATAAAGAAGAAAGAATATTTTTTTTAAATTCACATTAATTTATCCTTATAACTGCGAGTTTGCAAATTTCACACCACTAAAATGAAGTAGAATGAGAAATTTGATGGAAATCATTGAATTTTTGCAATAAATAAGAATAATAAAAATAAAATATTCAGGTTTAAACGTTAAAGTTAAACTTATAAATCTTCTATAATTTACTTGCAAAATCTTCTCCTAATAGTTAAAAATATTCTTCAGTTGATTTATAATATATTTGAGATTTGTGTCCAACAACAATGAAGAGATCGGGGGCAGATATTTAGAGGATATTAGAGGAGAGGATATTTTTTAGAAAATATAAAAAGAAAGATAAATCTGGCGAAAATTTGCAATGAATTCAGAGCAATTCAAAATATTCCAAAAAATTTCCAAGGATTTTCAATAGAATTTCAAGGAATTTTCCCACCTTAAGCGAGTGAATTTCCTCCAGATCTTTGCTTCATTTGTTCACTAATTTATTTTTTCATTAATCTACACTTGAAGATCTTCAATTAAATTTTAACTTTTAAATAATTTTCACTGATTTAGCTGTATATTGCATTGCGCTTCTATTTTTTAGAATTCTGATTGCATACAGAATTTGAGTTAAAAATTGAAGTCAACTCATCATTTTTTCCATTATAATCTGAATTTATTCGACTTTTTTTCGATATTTTTTTCTTTGATTTAATGATATTCTATGAAAAAAAAAGTTTGTTCGATTGACTCAAATATAAAATAAAAAGCAGATAAAAAGAAAATCGAGAAAAAATGAGATTGTCTACGGCAGTTTTTCTGCAAAAGAGAGGTTTTTTCGTAGCGGGTAATCCCTCAATAAAACTGCTCTATATTTGGCGTTTGAGGTGCTTGAGGAACTTT